GGGCTATGAACAAATAAACTTTTAAAATAATCTCTTTGATACGTGGTTTTCATCTTAACTGCAGGTCCCGCTTCACAAATGATGGATATGTTTACATGAAAAAAATAGGGGGGGAAACTGAGATAGTTTTGAGTTGCCACTACTCCCACTTCTATTTTTGTTACCACAGTTTTCATTAAAGTTTAAAGGATTCTGCAAGCATATAATGCTGCAGTTCTCTCTCAGTCACTTGTTAAGTTTCTCAAGTGTTACTGATGAAAGCAGAAAGGAATTTAAATTAAAACAGTCTTCTGGTTAGTATTACATATAGACTGTAAAACTGGAAATCTATTGCTGGTTTGTTTGATTTGCTTGATATTGCAGTAGTTTATAATTTTTTAAGCACTTCATTGGACTAGATTTGATGAAACTACGTTGCTTCCATTTATCTATTTGAAATTCAGACTCTTTTCAGTGAACAGTGGTCAGCAACAGTTGGCAAATTTGGACATCAGATCCACCTAATAGTGTCTGGATGGCCAATTCCCACCTCCTCTCCCTTATTAGAAATGTTTATATACTGGAAGTTTTCGTTTTAAAAAAATCATGGGGCAGATCCTGCTTTAGCTGAAATCAACAGGAATTTTGCTGTTTTTGGTGGGGGCGAGGGGGTAGTATAGTTCCCCATATACTTTTGGAAAAACAAGTAAGTTTTGTCTCCATAATTCTGTCTGTATAGAATGATTATTAGTGTTGTACAGCATTACTCTGTAAAGTACTTTTAACTATAATGAGCCATGGCTTTAAGCACCCACAAACAACACAGTGGTTGGCAGGGATTGAATCTGGGACCTAAGCACCAAGAAATAGGTCTCTTTCAGTTGAGCTAAAATGATACCTTGGTAGCGGGATTTAGTTAAATAGGTGTTCTTTCATGCAGACCTGGAGTTAAAACTTTGCTCCTCCAGTGCCGTAGCCTTAAAACATGCATGTTCTCTTCAGATTTGGACATTAGTGTTGGGAGAGTGATGGAGCAAATCCATATATTGCAAGCCAGCTGATGATCACTGTTTGAGGTTGGAGGAGGGAACTACCTTAGTCATGACCAAAGGCACCAAGCTCAAAAAAGTAGTTGAATTATCACTTTAACGAATGGCACTGTCACAGGGTCTCTGCCCTACCTGTGTGTGACACAGTCACTCTGTTCTGCTGGTTGGGAAAATGAAGGAGGTCTGGTGACTGTGGTTGGGGAGTGGTGAGGTTAAGTAGGCTGATTTAGGCCTGGATTAGATAAAACAGAGGCCTGTGGAGAGCCAGAGGGAGGAGGCCTGTGGAGAAGGCAGAGCTCTTCTTTCTGATCAATATAATTAAACTCCTTTGAGAACCACGCAGTGGGATTGTGGAAGAAAAAAGGATTCAGAAGAGGATCACTCTCCTCCATAGCGGTCTGTAGAGTGAGGGCGAGAAGGCCAAACTCTAAGCAAGAAGTCCTGGGAGTTACTGCTGGGAGAGCAGACCGATAGGGAGGAGAGGCTGGGGCAAAAGAATCTTCTTGGTTTGAATTCCATTTGTTTTATGCCCCTTTATTGGTGGGACTTAATTAATTGGACCCCAGAAGGGAAATCTTGTTCATAGTATCTTGGAGTGTCTGGTATGGAGTGAGGTGCTCTTTGTAGAGGGGGAAAAAGGAGGCAGGCTGCTGCAGAGCCACCCTAGTCCATGAAAGTGGAGCTATGGAGGTGGTAGCCTGGCCACAAGCACAGAAGTAATAATTCCCTTAATTAATCTTAATTTGGAAAACTCAATTTCTTAATTACTGGGCTATGATTAGTTAAGGGAGAATAGTAGCCTTGTATTCAGCTAGGAGGTAACAGTTCAGCTTTATTTAGCATAAAGCCAACTATGTCCAGTGGCGGAGTGATCCTTAACAGAAGTTTTGCCAAGGGTGAAATAGTAAGACTACTATTAGTAGTTCATTTAATTACCTTGCAATTTCACTGGCTAACAGAGAATGCCACCGGTAGTATAATACACACTTAAACCAAATTAATGTAGAAATGTAGACTAATGCAACATTGAGTCTGATTCTGCAACACTCTGTTAATGTACTTATTTGCATTCACGGTCCCTTTGAGGTTATTTGCCAGTAATCAGCCCTAAGTCTGCACAATTGAAATTGTAAAAAGTTAAGGTTCTGACAGCAGTGCTAACTTGCTATACATCTTCTATATTTTATGGCTTACATTTTATGACATAGTATCAGAGAGGTAGCTGTGTTAGTCTGGATCTGTAAAAGCGGCAAAGAGTCCTGTGGCACCTTATAGATTAACAGACGTATTGAAGCATAAGATTTCGTGGGTGAAGAAGTGAGTATTCACCCACAAAAGTTTATGCTCCAATACGTCTGTTAGTCTATAAGGTGCCACAGGATTCTTTGCTGATTTTATGACACAAATGGTAATATATTAAGCTGCACATAAAGTAGAAAAATTGGTTACAGAACCTGAACCTTTGAGTCTCTGGTGAGCACCCACATGTTGCTCCTGTTGACTCAACTTTCAAAATCAGACTATATTTATAAAGGTGTCTAAATATGGATCTAGAGGCTGACTTTAGGTACTTGTGTTTGAAAGTTTCAGTCATATCCATTATGCAGTAAGGGAGAGCTTGCAATAAATAGGCAAATCATCCTCGGAAAAATTCAAGAACTCACTTAAACTCCATTTTCACAGTAAGCATTTTGTTTTTAATCTTTATTGTTTCCCCTGCCAATATAAGCATCTTTTAAAAAAAAATCCTCTTTTGTTCTGGTTCCTTGGGAGGAAGGCGTTTTGATCACCAGCGAAAGAGCTAAAATAGACTCCAGAATGCACACAGCTGCAGAAACAATTATATTTCTCAACATAAGCTCACATTTATTTTTTGTTTCAGTTCCTTTCATTAAAATTTTTTTAGAATAAGTAACAGTCCAATTACTACTCAAATGTAAAAAAGAGATTATCAATCTGTAATGATACTCATGTTCATCCATCAGAATTTATCCAGGCAACATACAATCTGATTCATTTGGACTGCCTCAACCAGGATGAAACTCACCCTGGTGCATAAGGCCCAGCATCACTAGCTTTGTGCACATCTCATCATTAACCAGAGATTGAGCTTTACTTTGTGACAGTAGTTCAGTAATTTCTGTTATGGACTTCTGCTATTTAAGAATGATATGCAGGGTGAGTAGAGTGCATTGTTCATGCATTGGGATGCTTGACTTGCACCTTTACAGTAAGTTTTGCTTGATTGATTGAACTAAAGATTAATTGAACATTATTAGGAATGAAAGAAATTAAAATGCAAAGTTCTCAGCATGTTTACAATGACCTGTGCTGCAGTGCCTGAAACTGTCTTACGGCCCACCCTGGTGTGCTCTACAGGGCAGACCTGTAGTGCTGCAGCATAGATTAGTTCCACCATGTTTTAATACCTTTCTGGGCACTACTTGAAAATGCATTCTAGAATGTACCAATCTAATTTAAACCCGTTTCACTAGAGCCTGTTCATGACGTGCATGATTGTTGAACTGTCTTGTGCATCTGATAAAATTTGATTTGTAGCACCATTCAGCAGTAATTTATGTAAGATGATTGAAGATTTTTCTTGGTTCATGAACCTGGTACAGTAATAGTCTCGAAGGACAAACAGCAGCTGCCTAGGCAAAAACCATCTGAAAAATATTTAGACTTTTGGGGACTACGCTAGTGCAGCCACAAGCTGATAGTACTTAGATATTGGATTTTTTAAAAAAAGGTAACCTGGAAAATCAAATAAAGGTATGCTCTCTTTTTTGCTCCTTTATGATGAGTAAAGAAGGCCTGAAATAATTTTAATAGAGCTGGGAATTTTGTATTGATTTTTTTTTCAGCAGAAAATGCAGGTTCTGAAAAACTGAAATCTTGCAAACTTTTCCCATTAGGAAAATCTAAACAAAATACTTTGTTTCAGGTTGAACTGAATAGAAGCATTTTAGTTTGAACCAATTAAAACATTTTGTTATGGGTCAGTTAAACATTAATATATGTGTGCGTGCGTTGCCATGTTGCCTCATGGGAGTTCTAGTTTGGGTGCCACGTGCCCTCATTTTTTTTTCTGTGGGCTGAGCTTCCGGGCAGGACTAGACCTTCCATGATTCACCATGATCTGGCCTCTTGTTGAATTGATATGATGCATTGTGGGAATGGCATGAGCAAAGTAACTCATGGGAAATGTAGTCTGGCTGGGAAGCCCAGCCTATGGAGGAGAACAGGGCCACAAGGCACTTGAACTACAGCAGGTTGTAGCACATTATACCACAGCAGGTCAGGAGGACACAGATTAACGTTGAGTTGAGACAAAATTAAGCATTTTAATTCCAGAATGTCAAAATGTTTAGTTTTGATCAGAAATGTCAAAATGAAACATTTAGAAACAGATTTTTGGAACTTAATTCTGTGAAAAATTTCATTTCAATTTTTCATCCTGATTTGGGATGAAATTTTTTTTCCAAATACTGTAACAGAATTTTACATTGGATGTAAATTCTGATTTTCTATCAGCTCTAGGTTTTTAAATTTTCAGGGTTTTTCAGGGTCACCTTCTGTACTACTGTTGAAGGTTAACTAGCCATAAAGAATCCAACTTGATTCTCAGATCACAGGCTGAATTTGCTTGAATGGCAATTAGGGAATTTTGTAAACTGAGCATATTTGTTATGAAATCATTAGATGATTGGAGAACCTCACAATGCCATGATTACACAGTCAGTTTTCATAGAACCACCATGCTTTGAGAGAGGGACTTTTTAAATGATCTACTTTAAAAAAACAATTAGAAAAATTGTCATGGTGTAACTATGCCATCCTCCTTCAATAGTTTACAAATCAGATCTCTACTGACATATCAAAATAGCATCCCCTGATTCTACTCTTTTTACTTCTCTCAAGTTCCTCAAGTTCCTCAAAATATATAGATTTCTATTTCTCTCTCAACAGATTGCTGGTTGGAGCACCTCGGGAGAAAGCCTTTCCATCCCAGCAAGCCAACAGAACTGGAGGGTTGTATAGCTGTGACATTACATCCCCAGAGACGCTTTGCACACGTGTCTTCTTTGATGAGAACGGTAGGCTCTTCCATATTTTTCTTTGGAGTGAAGCAATTGTCTGTTTTTGCTTATCAGATATAAGCCTCAATGGTCTTTCCCACTGAATATAGCATCTTTCTTTTTCTTAAAATCAGTGATCACAAGGAACACTTATTTTTATCCTCTTTAAATGTTTTTACAGCTTTTCTTATTTAGTTTTTGAGTGAAAACAAGTCTTAGCTTAATTGCTAAAGCAATATTGATGTTGAATCCAGATGTTTTGCTTATGATCATGTTTTTCAGTAAGTGTAAATTATATCTTAATTTAAAAAAAACAAAAAAACAAAATCCTTTTTCACTGATATAACTAATCCTCATCAATTAAGGCTTTGTTGTATGGGTAAAGTGTATAGACAGTGCCACCTACAGGCTCTTTCAGGTACAGTATGGAGTTGTTAACAAATATTGAATTAAAATTAACAAGGAGTCCTTGTGGCACCTTAGAGACTAACAAATTTATTTGGGCACAAGCTTTCGTGGGCTATGACCCACTTCATCAGATGCATGGAGTGGAAAATACAGTAGGTAGGTATAAATATACAGCACATGAAAAGATGGGAGTTCATAGTCCACAAAAGCTTGTCAAATAAATTTGTTAGTCTCTAAGGTGCCACAAGGACTCCTTGCTGTTTTTGCTGATACAGGCTAACACAGCTACCCCTCTGAAACCTGAATTACAATTGTATGTTTATAATCAAAGCACAATATGCTCTGACAGGAGTTAACCATAGTGTGTAAAATTGTGTTGTGATGATGCAGCTGATCCAGCAACTGAGAGTAAAGAAGACCAGTGGATGGGTGTAACTGTCCAAAGTCAGGGGCCAGGAGGAAAAGTGGTGGTAAGTCTATAGGACTAGAATATTTATTAGTATTTGTTTAGGCTGCATGTTTTAAAGTTGTCCGCATTTCTGTACCTTTACAGAACTCTTTCTAGGTTTTGTTGCTATTAGATTCCTAAACATAAGGAATTAAAATTTTCCCTAGAAGAATGAGGCACTGCAGATAATCTGAAACTTCTGTTGATGAGAAGGACAAGCTTTTGAGCTCCACAGAAGAAGAGCTCTGTGGAGCTCAAAAGCTTGTCCCCTTTTCAACAACAGAATTTGTTCCAATAAAATATATTACCTCACCTATCTCGGCTCTCCCTTACCTCCAAAACTGTTAGTAATGCTGCTGGATGCAGTATTAACTTGCATGGAGGGAGGGGCAAATTCACCGTGTCATCAGCAGGGAACTAGTGACAGCCTGGCTTCTCCCAGAATGGCAGCATGGTTTGTGCAGAAGCAAGCATGCCCTCTGCCCTTCAGCCTATGTGAAATATTGAGTATGTGCATAGTAGTGCTGTGATCTGCAAGGTTTCCAATAACTTTACATGCAGCCACTGTGGTGGTGGTGTTTTTTCTTCCTGCCAGCATTCAGATGTTACAAGAGGATGTGACTCAACTTCTGAGTCTCTGTTGTCACTGTTCTCCCAGACATAAGTACCTGGCTTGTATGCTATTGCTGCTAGGGGAGCATGTAGCTTATAGAGAATGGCCTTCTCATTATTTGGCTTTAATGATAATTTGCAGGAAAAAATACAGAAGGCATAAAACATTTTGCTTATCTACTGTATCTTTGTTTTTCTTGCAGACATGTGCACATCGCTATGAGAAAAGGCAATATGTAAACACAGTTCAGGAAACTCGTGATATCATTGGAAGGTGCTACCTGCTGAGTCAGGATCTCACTATTAAGGATCCTAAGGATGATGAGTCTGCTATGGATGGTGGAGAATGGAGTTTTTGTGATGGCCGACTGAGGGGCCATGAGAAATTTGGTTCATGTCAGCAAGGTGTAGCTGCTACTTTTACTAGAGACTACCATTATGTTGTATTTGGTGCACCAGGAACTTATAACTGGAAAGGTATGACCCTCTCTTTTCTCCGCTCCTAGATTTTTTAGGATTTACCCCGGTTTTGTAAATGCTAAATTATTAGCTCCATGTTACTGTCAAAAATGTCAGATTAAAAACTTGTAAGGCAGAGGTCCCCAATCTATGGGTGTGCTCTCCTTACGGGGGCACAGAGGAATGTTTGGGAGGGGGGAAGGGGACCCTTCGAGGTAAAAAATTTGGGGATCAGTGTTGTAAGGGGAAGGCTTTAAAAAATTGGAATAGCTAATGGATGGATTACATAAGTTAACACGCTGTTGTAGGAAACTCCTACTTCACTGGTCTTAATTTTCTTGCAGGATTCAGTGCTTGTGTCAAGGGGTGGAACTGTCACACTGAGTGTGTATATACATATTTTTAGCATTATTTGGCAAACATCTCATTTTTCTGCATTTGAGCAATTATTCAGACAAATGTCTGCACTAAAACTTTTATCCTAATTGATCCTGCAATGTGCTCATTCTTTTGTGTTTGTGACATCAGTCATCTTCTGTGGAAACGGCGGGTACCTTTTCAACATGTTTAAAACTCGCAGCTGTGAGTCTCAGAGCCTGGGTCTTCAGACTCAGGGTGGTGGGGCTCGTGCTATCATGCTAAAAACAGCAGTGCAGAAGTGTAGGGGCACTGGAGTTTGGGCTCCAAAGCTCAGGGAGGTGGGTGAGTTTTGGAGTGCAAGCTCCAGCTCGAGCCACAACGTCTGGCCTGGCGCGTAAGCCTGTGTCTGTAGTCTGTCTCTGAGACTCGCTGCTGCAGGTTTTTAAAACTCAGTGTAGACATACCCTAATATATCACACGTTCAGTATGGCAGGATCATGGGAAGATGATTGCACACAGAGCAAATATTTAAACATTCAAGGGCAAATCCTTATGTTTTTACTCCAGTAAAACTCCATTGACTTTAATGGGTGTTCTGCCTGAGTAAAAACTAAAGACTGTGGCAACTGGCACATATCACCTAGCAAATGTTGCAAAACTCAGAAAAACAATGGATAGATTTGTATCCCTTGGTTTATGTTGAGAAATTTTCAAATGCCTGGCCTGTTTGTTTTTTTAAGAGATTTCTTTTTGCACATCATTACACCAATAGCTGCAAAATACTTCCCTCCCCCTCCTTTAGAATGCCTGTTTGGTCTTTGACCCCTGTTCTACAGAGTTCTTTCATACACCTGTGTCTGGCACACGAACCATGCGAAATATCTGAGTTACGCTCTGGCACAAGGTATACTTTTTGTGAAGACTTAATTTTCCAAATATCTGCTTCTGTCAAGAAAATTTGAACAAGCTGAAGGAGCATATTGAGTTAAGAGATTGCTTTATGTTAATTGCAGAGAACTGCTATGGCAGTACATCAGTTTTATGAATATGCTTTCATATCCCGGAAAAACATGTCTGTACTTGACAAATTGTTAAATAAGTCTGACTAAAGAGAAGCACCCATTTTGATTAGGTAGCAGCTTTGTCTATAATGCCTTTGTTGAAAGGGTGAAATGATATGTTGAGTGAAGAGGGTTGATGATCAGTGTATTCAATGTTTTGTTGACAATTTTAATAATGTATGCCATATTTCCCAGATCATTGCCTGGCATCATAAAGTTGCTGCATCATGACACCCATATGCATACAATACCATGAGATTTTAAAACATAACTTCAGGCTATGTGCTATTCTTCCTCCCAATTCAAACAATGATCACAAGGACAATATTGCTAATGTCAATCAGGAACCATATATCTATTATTTTTCTCTCTTGTCATTCATCCATTTTTATTTTACCATTTCATTCCTTCAGGGGTGGTTCGTGCAGAGCAAAAGAATCAAACATTTTATGCTGTGGATATCTTTGATGATGGGCCTTATGAAGTTGGTAGTGAGAGTCGCCGAGCTGAGAATCTAGTTCCTGTGCCAGCTAACAGTTATTTAGGTAGGATTAAGCACAGATGGTAAAACTCTTCAGTCGTTTTGAACACTCGCTATCCAAAGGATGTGCAATACCATAAAATACAAGCAGAAATCAATTATTTTATGCCCCTGTAAAATGCAACCATATTTGGTCATTCACATCCTCCTCTACATATGCGGGCTAAGTATAAAATGATACTCCATTGAGGTATCTGTAAGAGCTACAAATGTAACGAGACATTTAAGAGCTGTGATGAGGACCTGCAAATTCTCATTATGTGCTTATAGGCACTCTCTAACAGTAAGTACTGTCTGTGGATTCATACTCCTGGATCATGTGGCCACCAGCAAGTAGAATTGGGAGCTGTAGTAAAGCCTGAGTTTCTGAGAATAACTGTTAAGTCGGCATTGTGTGTGTGCTGAGAGCATAAACAAAGCACCGAACTACCAGTCCCTTAACTCCTAAGGCTTCTTTGCACAGCTAATGGCTGTCCTAAATAACTCAAATACAACATGGTAATTACAGATACGTTTTTAAAAGCTTTTAATCATTAGCATGGATTGACACTAATAAAAATGTAGTGTGATTTTCATGATGAAAAGCAAAAGAAAACTGTCCTGCTTAATGCAAACAGTGAAGAAGAAAGGCCAAATGAGAGGTGCCATTACAAACCAGAAAGAATAAAGGCTGAATGGGATCTTTGAAAAATTGAGTAGTGTCAAGAGAAAGAAGCGTCTTTCTGCTCCAAATGCTGATTTGTGTGACACTTCTACACCAGTACTCTTTACGTTTGCAATGGGTTTAAGCACATGCTAGTAAAATGGAGCCAGAAGAGCTGGTGATGGAAAGAGAGAGGGATTAATTCTTAGCATCAGGTCTGGGAGAGAGCATTGCCAAGGAGAGAGCCATCTTAGAGTGAAGAAATGAAAGTGAGAATGAGACTTGTTATAAGAAGAAATAGAACATCCATTACAGTTAAACAGGAATCAGATCAAGAATTTGTAGGTGCTGGGGACCATAAATAGTGATGGTAGAGAGATGAATTCATAGCATTTCTAAAGATCTAAGTGGTCCATTTGGATTGAGGCAGGAATGCCAGGGCTAGGGATGTTATGGAGGAGCTTTCATGCTGAACAGAAAAAGACTGCAATAAGCAGGACCATAGTGTGTTTGTCTTCCTGTTCATCAGCATTAAATTTTCAAAACAAGTCTAATGTTGCATTTATATCCCAGAGGCTTTGTCACTCTAAAAAGCTCCTTTGCTTGATTTGACATGTCTTTGGAATCAAATTAACTTCCTCTTTCATTGGTAAGTAGTGCAGTGCCAGCCTGGCATTAATTGGCAGTTGCTGTGCCCTAGGTTATACGTGACGTGCAGTTATTTTTACTGCTTAACTACCGTATCTTTCTTCTTTGATCTCTTCCTCCCATATATGTTCACAGGTCTTCTGTTTTTGACAAGTGTTTCTGATACTGATCCCGATCAGTTTGTATACAAAACATTGCCTCCCAATGTAAGAGTGGACAAATCCACTGGTGTGATGATGAATAGCTACCTAGGTTTGTTACCTGAGGTGACAATATATATGGTCTTGGTCATACTTTTGTGTGTGTGTGTGTATCCAGACTTTGACATAATTATTTATTTATTTTATCCCCCCCTCCCCCCCCTTCCCCATTTCAAATGCATTCAAGTAAAAGCATGTAACAGCAGGGATTCAGATGATGGATAGCTTATAAAGTAAGGGGCTTTGGAGAGGACTTGATCTGTAATGTAACACTCAAAATATACTATAGCCTTCTTACCAAGCTTATCTGAAACTCTGTCTTATTTTTGTAATTGAGAATCGGAATGGCAGTGGTGAAGGATTCCAAGAAAAGGAGATTAGGGGGGCTTGATATTTACTTCTCTTCTAATCTAGATTTTTCCTCACAATTTGTCTGACTTTTGATACTTGGATTTATACCACAAATTCATGCACTATCCCAATATATGTATGCAGTAATCCTGTTCAAAATATGTAAAATAATAATTAATTCAATGTATTAACTTTAGAATTTAAACTGAAGATTTAGGATTGCATGCTTTTTGAAATGTCCTTTATAGACATAATTAGCATGTTACTGCTGATTTCACCACTACTGTATACAGCAGATTCTCAAATACTGTCTAACATTAACATAAAATACTGTGCTTGTACAATGCTTTGCATGTTTTTATAACAGAAAATAACATTTGTATGAAATTCATAAGTGTTCATTCTGTGTTAGAGGCTAAGCACTTAAGCTGTATTAAAGTGGTTAGATTTATTAAATTGGTTTTAAGTTACTACATTTTAAAAAAAATATCCACCATAACCATGTGTAGCATCTGTGAAATGTACAGATGGTGTGTTTGTGTGCATTTACACACACATTATAGACACACAAAAAACCACATCCATAGAGTATCAGATTTGTTCGACCAATTATTGTACATTTTACAGATGCCACACATGGGTGTGGTGGAGATATAGAGAGAAGTCTGTAATATTAAAAACTTTCATTTAGGATCTTTTTTCTTTCTGCAGACATTATATGGATATATGCTTCATACCATTCTATAGTCACACTTGTGTACTGTTTCATTTATAAGGTGTTTATTGTTATAGCAGATTTAAAAATAAATGAAATTGGTAGCATGTAGTGAATATATTTTGGATATATTTGCTAAACTTTGGTTGCAGTAGTGCTACCAGGCACCACTTTAATATAGTGCATATATATTATTTTCAGATCTAACAATAAAAAACTCTAGCTATTGGTTTTTGTTTTCTTTTGTTCTAGGTTTCTCTTTGGACACTGGTAAAGGTATCGTTTCCCAAGAAGAAACAACTTTTGTATCAGGTGCACCAAGAGCCAATCACAGTGGAGCTGTAGTTCTGCTGAAAAAAGATCTCCAAATTCCCAGAACACTCTCGCTTGTGCATATATTTGAAGGAGAAGGGCTGGCCTCTTCTTTTGGCTATGATGTTGCAGTAGTGGACCTCAACAATGATGGGTAAGGCTCTTGTTAAGCTCATGTTATTAAATCCTAGTTTTGTATTGCTGCAGTGCATTGTATGTATAGTGTACCTAAAGATGATTTGCCAATGGAGGAAAATGTGGAGGAATGGAGTTGTGTGTCCCTTCCCCTCCCTAACTTTAGGATGTATAGGGAAGGTTTCCAGTTTGCTTGATTTTCACATTAGCAATATAGGGCATACTAACTCTCGGCTTCCTTTTCAGAGAAGTACACTAGGTGCTGTCTCCGAATTTATTTGAAAGGATGTGACTATTGAATAGTTTTAGACTTCTTCTTTTCTACTCATTGTTAGAGCAATACAGCTAGATGAAAAGTTGACTGAAACTTGAATGGGTAATATTTTTTTTTTTTTTTAAAAAGGCAGAAAAAAAAATCACATTCAAGCAAAAATCCTCATAGGTATTCTTTATACAGCACAGAAAAGAGGGGAAAAGCCACAAACACAGTTTGTTTCTTTAATAAAAATTGCCAGGTTAATTTTTCACTATTGAACCAATTTAATGTGCTTCCTAGTGACCCTTGCTCAGCCTCTTTTGTCTGGCCAATTTACTTACATTATATTCAGCCTGTAGTCTTTAACTTGCCAGGAATTTTCACTTATTTCTCAGAATTCTTTTAAAATGTCTGTACTTTGTTTCATTTAAAGTTGGCAAGATATTGTTGTTGGAGCCCCACAGTATTTTGACCGATATGGAGAAATTGGGGGTGCTGTGTACATCTACATTAACCAACAAGGCAAATGGGAAGGGGTAAAGCCAATTCGCCTCAATGGAACCACTGATTCTATGTTTGGTATTGCAGTTGAAAATATTGGTGATATTAATCAGGATGGATTCCCAGGTGAGAAAATTGACCTTTTGAAGATGAATGTCCACCTCCCCCCTTTCCAAAACTAGATTCAGAGCATCTTATTTTATCATGAATGTAACCATTCATCAGGATAACATTTATCTAAATCTCCTAATTTCTTTTCAACAGATATTGCCGTGGGGGCACCATATGATGATTTTGGCAAGGTGTTCATATATCACGGATCCAAGAATGGAATAAATACAAAGCCAGCACAGGTAATTAAACACCCGTTACAGTGGCTTTAAGGTTAATTTGCATTCCACAGAGTGGCCATATTGCAGTGCATGCTTTGTGCCAATCTGGCCTATAATATTTAAGGGACAAATTCAGACTTTCCTTGCATCTGCTAGACCTAAGGTCTGGAACAGGAGCAAGTGCCACCTGAAAGAAGCACTTCTTCAGAGGCATGGCACTTTGGAAAAGTGCAAGTCATCTGCTGCTTTTCCATGACTGAGAACACAAGTTCAAAAAGGAAGAGTGCAAGTGAGCATGTTATATTCACCAGCTAGTTACATTTTTCTCATGCTGGATTCCCCAAATGGTGGAAACCCTATGCATAAAAGAACAGAGCAAAGGAACATGTGGATTTGTATGCCCCACTTCTTCAGATTTTTGGAGTATAAAGCAATGATAATTACTTAAATGTCTTATTCTCAACAATCTGTTTGTTTTTAGATTCTTGATGGCAAAAAATCCAGTGTTCTATATTTTGGTTATTCTATTACTGGAAATATGGATCTTGATAGAAACTCCTACCCTGATATTGCTGTTGGGTCACTTTCAGATTCTGTCTCTGTTTACAGGTGTGTACTGTATTGGTTTTCTAACAAACTGCTTTGAAGAGATGAATGTTCTGTTTTAGGTTTGTAATGCATTTTTTTTCCTCCAGAGGTTGAAAACTGTGCTGGGGAAGAATGCACATATATCAGTCTGGTCTCTTTTGAGTATGTCTACACTGTACACTAAGCCCAGGTTCTGACTCAGATTTGAGTCCAAACCACTCTTCCATCCACATACAAATCAGTTTGACTTGGATCAGCAAGCACTCGAGGCCTGGTATGGGGGGTGGGTCAGAGCCCAAGTCCTGCTGGGACTGAGATCTAAGCTCTGTCATTTTACAGTGTGGATGCTGCTTAAGCCACACACCTGGGTGAGAGGTTGGTGTAGAGCAGTATAGACACATTAGCTTATTAGCATGGCTGTGAGACCCAGATCCAGCAACTGTAAACGGAGGTTTACAATGTAGTGTGAATGCTCAAGCACGGACTTGGAAACACTGAGTCCACAAGCCTGAGTCCCACAGACCTGGGCTTAGTGTTCAGTGTAGACATACTCTTCTATAAAACTGGCTGAAAGATAACCTAACATCCCTGATGTTTAGCTTTTGTTATGCGTTTCTCAAGAAAACATAGCAATGTTTAAGAGAACTGTAGATTATGAACTGTTGGAATGATGCATACAAGGTGGGATAATTATAGTGGATATTTGGCTAATCCTGTGTGCATGCATGCCCACCGTGACCAAGTAAGGCCTTAACACTGAGGAATCTGCATTTCTGCTGTGTGAGCGGTGGAAGGGAGGGGCTGAATTCAGAAAGTCCATGTTGGCAGCTCTTAAACCTGTGACATGTAGAGATCTGCTCCATGGGGCTCCCTTCACACGAGTGTACAAGGAGATATTGTGTGAGCGACAGGGTCAGAGGTCTGCAATAGCAGATCCAATCTGTCATCCCTTGATTGGGGCAGGGACCACATTTTACTCTGTACCATGATGAGCATAATGTGGGACCCCCATGCTGACTGGGGCCCCTAGGTACTACCATAATACAAATAATAATAATCTGTCTCCATGCTCTCTTGCAGATGCGGGTGCAGTAGATGTAGGGCGTACTGAAGCCCTCCGGTTACATTAGTGGCCACAGAACAGCTTGGGGATGAGGAATCTGACCCCTTGCTGACCTCCTAAGCCTATAGTCTGGTTACTCAGGCTTTGCACTGGGGATACAATTTGGCTGCAGAAAGATCTAATTTTGCCATTTAACGTATGATGACAGGAATTACAGAACAACTAAAATAAGTAGGAAGGGGAAACACAGGCAGGGCTTTGAGGTCTGAGTCAAGTTTGAGGTCTCAGTCCTTATCTTCAGGGCACTCATGGTGAAGGCTCAGGATATCTAAAAGATTGCCCTGGGTTGAAGATTGTGTTTGACAACTCTGCTCCTCGGGCACATGGAGCTTTCTACCATAAGAGTAAAACTTGTCTGTTCAGGGGACAGAGCTTTCTTGGGGTCGGTCTGAGACTGGAACAAACTCCCACAGGACCTAAGGACCATCCCATCATTGACTGTGCCTTCTCTAATATAAGCATAGCTGCATGCACGTAATTAAGTCCCTAAAAATACCAAGAAAAGTACAAAAACAAAACACACTTGACTGCACCCACAATTCTCCCCCTTGGCAGAGGATGAGAGCAAAACCCATGTGTGACGGACATTAGTCATGTCACACAATACTTGGTTTCTCTCAATACTATGCTGATGAGGGCAGTCTAAGTACTTCTATAAACAGGAGGTGACGACACAAAGCTGGTGTGGTGTAAAAGGGGTGAGTCAGTGAAAGAATTCCACTGAAATAAGCAAGGCTGCATTCAGCTTGTAAATATTCAAAAATGTACCTACTGGCTCTGTTCTGCTACAATGAATGGCAAAACAGAGTCACTTTAGTGGGAGCAGGGTTAGCCATTCTCTTCATCTGTATGAATAAGTCTGTTTTTAAAAAGAAAAGAAATGCACTCCTCTCATGTTTAAAACATTAAATAAAATAAAGCTGCTAATGCAGCAGTATGCCAGCAATCCGACATGCATGAAAGTCAGGAAGTGAAAAATTAGGTTTGTCTCAGCAGCCATAATTCAGCCATCCACACTGCACATTAAAGTTGACATATATGTTAATCTAAATTACTTCTGCTACTCACCGTATACACAAAGGGGCTGAATTACAATTGCTGTGGGAACCATCACATTGAATTTCCTGACTTTTTGTGCATGTAAAATGACAACCATAACATTGCATTAACATAGTGGTTTAAAAAACATTGATACAAGTCACTTGACCTTCGTGGGTTTTCAGGGTTGTTCAGCTTCTCTACAAAATGCTGAAGAAGAGCTCTATTTTAAGCTCCAGAGCTTCTTTCTCTCTCACCAGCAAAAGTTGGTCCAATAAAAGATATTACCTCACCCACCTTGTCTCTCTTCAAAATGCTGTAAGTTTTATTTCTAACCTTTCTGAAACTCAAAACATTTCTTTGAATAATATTGAGATGTAGGGAATCTTCACAGCAAATCAATGCAAGTATAGGAGTCTGCTGCTTCTGTTAAACTCAGAGTAACATATAATTGATTTTACTAATTGTAACTTTCCCCCCTTTTTTCCCCTCTCCTCACACCTGTCCATCCCTGTCCCCTCCTTCCCCCCCACCCAAAAAAAAAAAAAAAAAGATCTCGGCCTGTTATAAGCATTAAGAAAACCATCACGATATCTCCTGACAAAATTGACCTGAACAGAAAGACCTGTTTTGAACCCAGTGGAATCTGGTAGGATATTTATTTTGTTGTAAGCTTTGGCATATTGAGTGCTTAATGTTTTCAGTGTGATGGGGTTGGGCATGCAGACCCACTGAGCTGAAGGGAGGCATATGCAGTGTGGTTGATAGATGTGAAACATATTCCGATCTTGTCCAATAACTGGCTTTGCTTCTGAAAAGTAAGAACAGGAGAATGGGTTTCATTGGTTGCCATCTATGTGCATTTATTCCCTGTCCTGTCACTTTTAGAATTTAAAGCCTGTAACTCTTAAAGCTTTATGCAGACTGGAAAAGCTATTAGTTGTATGGCAGATACCTTAACCCAGATCCCAAAAGGCAAAGGTTATGTAAATATGGGATAGGAGTAGTTCACTTCTTCAAGATGACATCATGTTGGGCAATAATAAAATTTGATGATACTCTTCCTTAGAAATTTACATTTTAAAACGTTTTTAATATAACTTCAGTGCAAGAATGAAGTGGTTGGTGGGTCATGTATATGTGTATTGGTCCCATGATGTCCCCATGTGATCTATCACTATCTGTTTAATTCAACATACATGCATATTTTAGAGAGCCTGGGATGGCTTTTTTACTGGCACTAAATGGAAGTTTAAAGACCAAAAATAAATAACTTTTCAATGAACACTGACATTTTGTAACAAACTAAAAGTGCAAACTACAAGAAGAAAAGGAACAGACCCTTTCAATCTGAGTAATACAAAGAAGGGCTTGATTCTTCTATACTTCCTCTTAATGAAATATTGAGGCTGCAGGACCTCACTTTAAGAGGGTAGAAGGCATGGGGTGCATTGGTGGTAACTTGTGAGTTACATCCACAGTCAAGTATCACATGGGTGTTTTATATTTGAAAAGCTGAAACTGGAAATACCTTCCTATGTATCAGAAAGTAAATCAGAAACTGATCTAGTTTTATAGAATAACAGATCTTGATAAACATAATTTGGTGCTATTATCTCCTCATGCACTGGCTTTTTATAAGGTGTTCTACAAATAGTGACAGTCACAAGAACCAATTATCTACTTTAGATATTTAATAGCTAGAACTTGCCAAGTGGAAGGAGCCTTCCATAGTAAAGACCCATTAGCAGACATTAAATAAATAAAATATTTTACATTCTGCTGCGGCACCGGTGTAAAGGACTACACTGGATGCAGCCAATAAAGAATCAAGCCCATTAATGTTAAACAGTCAGACTAAGTATTTCCTACCCACTCTCTGGCTCAAGTTTCAGTCTCCTGTAGTATCATAATCTAATTAGTTCTTCAGGAGATCCTCCAGCAAATACAGGAAAGACAAGATTTTTATTTATTTAAATGGGAAAAACAATTTGCTTTTGTAAAAACTTCCTGAAGCCATTTTTTTTTTAATTTAAAGTATCTGAAAGAGTAAAAGAGAGAAGCACTTTTTCTTCTGGCTCTGTAATTTACCATTCACTGAGAAGCAAAATACCAGTTCTGTTAATTCATATGATATGAATCGTATTATAAAAGCAAGGATAACGGACAGGTGACTGTATTGTTTAATGAAATGTTCAAACTTTCAGTCTGTTGGATCATGGCTTCTTAACATTAATTTTAAATTCTTGACTCTTTACAGCATGGACGTTGAAGCATGTTTTGAATATATTGCTAACCCCACGGACTTCAATCAAAAAATAAGTAAGTAGTTATGAATGTTTATCTGTTTATGAGTTTTTGTTTGCTTGCTTGCTTGTTTTTTAAGGCTGTTTACTGTTCTGGAAGAACAAAACTGTGGTCAATAAAAGTTAACTGCAGAGGCAGGTATGTAAATGCTGTAACATGCTCACACTGTGTCTGTCAGATCTAATATGTAACTCAGTACATGCTGACAGTACTAGCTGTTACTTGAGAGCTGTAGCCTGAGCTAACAGAAGTGTAGCAATCTGTAGAAATGTAATTAAGTCGTATTACTAAATAAGGGACACATAAGGGAAAAAGAGAAAGTTTATGTGGGGCCTTCACCATGTTTTGTGTTCCAGCCTTGCCTCTGCTGGCTGTGCAGTGTAATTACCATTCGTATTGTCACAGCAGTGTGCACATGAGGGACGTTGGTACACTGAACAGGAAACTTTTCTTTAAAAAAAAAAAGCCTATTAATTGTGAAAGCTCCTTTTGGACATGTGCAGGGAAAGAGAAGTTGGCTGTCAAATGGGAAAAGGACAAAGCAGGCAGATAATTAATGTTATGCTTCGAAGATGGCTTTGCAAACAAAGGAGAGTTGTTAATAAGCCCAGTACTGGACAGTGCGTAGTCCTCCTGGCTAATATGACAAGCCCAGAACTCATACATTAGCATTCTTAGTGCTATAATATTTCCTAATTGTAGTTCTGTATCTTCCTTTTATTTTTGATCTAGAACTTAACTATACGTTTGAAGCAGAAAATGACAGGAGGCGGTTAGGCCTGCCATCTCGAGTTCAGTTTTCTAAGCATCTGTCTGATCAGTTGATTGGAAGTATAACTCTAGGAGGACGGAATAGAAAAGAATGTGTGAAAACTTCTCTTGTGATGCAGGTAAAGTGAAGGGAGAGTATTTTATTTTTGATTTATACTCAATAGAAAAACTTCTATCCTGGGCACCAGGTACCTTTTGACATAACTTAAAGTATGACATACAAGATAAAGCCAGCTCCACCTTCTTTCTTCAATTCCCCCCCCCCCCCCCCAATCAGAAGAAACAAAATCAAACTCAAACTGACCCTGACTCTCTCACAAATGCCATCTCCTACCTCCCCAAAAGCCTGAATTAAAACATATGAGCCGGGTAGTGTGCCCTGAAGATCAACAGACTCAGGCTTTCAGAACAAAGGAGAGGAAGTAACTTCCAAAACTGAGGACCCTCATGGAAGACCTGTACACAAGAACAATGGCTGCTCCTAGGGGAATTCTGCACCAAAAATAAATAAATAAATCCGTGCATGATATTTTAAAATTCCGCATATTCTGTTTGTCAAAATAACACAATATAATCATGCCAGTTTCAATTATTTTGGTAATTTATTTCAAAATACCTGTCAGCAAGTATGTCTGTAACTATACAGCCCCCCCAAAAAAAAAATTCAGGAAACTTTTTGACAAATAGACTCCTTACTAACAGGTTTCAGAGTAACAGCCATGTTAGTCTGTATTTGCAAAAAGAAAAGGAGTACTTGTGGCACCTTAGAGACTAACCAATTTATTTGAGCATAAGCTTTCGTGAGCTACAGCTCACTTCATCGGATGCATACTGTGGAAACTGCAGAAGACATTATAGACACAGAGACCATGAAACAATACCTCCTCCCACCCCACTCTCCTGCTGGTAATAGCTTATCTAAAGTGATCACTCTCCTTACAATGTGTATGATAATCAAGTTGGGCCATTTCCAGTACAAATCCAGGTTTTCTCACTCCCCCCCCCCCCCCCCCCCCCCCAACTCACTCTCCTGCTGGTAATAGCCCATCCAAAGTGACCACTCTCTTTACAATGTGTATGATAATCAAGGTGGGCCATTTCCAGCACAAATCCAGGTACATTAATACATAACTGAGTAATAATTCATGTAAAGTACAATACAGAAACACATTTCCTGCACCCCTCAGAAGCAGAGCGAAGGCTTTGGGGAGCCAGGGGTAACAGAGGAGCTGCGGGAGAGAGAAGGAACCTAGGAAGTGAACCTGGAGGGTTGTGTGTGGGTGGGAGAAGTATGAAACAAGTTTATTTGGGGAGAAGGGATTGTAATGGAATTGGGGAGCCTCCCTCATGCAGACCCTGGCAGACCTCTAGCCTCTCCCATTTAGTCAAGCCCATCTGCCCCCATCCTCTGCAGCCCCGCCTCTCCCTGTCTCCATATGGCCCTGCAGCTCCCCTTCCATTCAGCCCCTGGCTCAGTGCTGTCATTCCACTGGCTCCTGAGCCAGCTCCCCAGTCTGTCCCTCCCACTAGCCCTTCTGAACCCCAGTCTGTGATCTCCCAGCAGCCCCATGTGCCCCCCTTCTGTCCCTCCCGTGTCTCCTCACCTGGCCCCCCTGTGAAGAATCAACCTTTCAGCCACTGGCTGGCTGCTGTCTCTTCTGGTGCCACAGCCGCCCCTGGTGGTTAAAAGGCATAATTGCAGCGCCTCTCCAGCAGAATCTATATGCGGTGTCGGCAACCTTTCAGAAGTTGTGTGCCGAGTCTTCATTTCTTCACTCTAATTTAAGGTTTCTTTCTATAAGTCTATAATATAGAACTAAACTATTGTAGGTAAAGTAAATAAAGTTTTTAAAATGTTTTAAGAAGCTTCATTTAAAATTAAATTAAAATGCAGATATTATCAGTTGAGTGTGATCCTTGCCCTTGCTTTTCCTTGCTGAGTTTTCCAATGTCTGGCACGTATTTGGATACTATAAGCTGCACACAGGCTTCTGAGTGATCAGTTGTTAACCGCTCTGAGAGGGACAGAGGACAGATTTCATGTGCGAAATCCAGGTATGTGGATCCAAATGCTGAAAGCACTGCAAATGCAGTTTTCTTCAAACACTTAAATTTCACTGGCAGGGACGTCCAGCATGTCAGAATAGAGGTCCCATGATCTCTCTCGGTAGCTTCAAGTGCACTCCACGGATCTCCAAACTTTGATGCCCACAATTCTGAGCTTTTTAACTGAATGAGCTGCATTTTGAAATCTTCAACACCCATTCACTGAAATACAGACAAATCCAAGTCACTTTCGTTGAACTTTTCAGGTTTAATTAGAAAAGAAAGGATTGGGCCAAATCGCTAGAAATCTTGAAATCTGTCAGAAAATTCTGATTCCAGTTCTTGCACATACATTCTAATCTCAGCGTCAAACACGGTTCGCCGTTCCACGTGGCATGATAGTGATGTAAGCAGCAAATCAGGACTTAAAAATATTCCAGTACAGTGATGCTGGAACAATTTTTATGGTGGGGGTGCTGAGCTGCGCCCCCTCTTGCCCGTCTGCACCCCTCACTGCCCCAGGCTGGTGCCAGTGGGTTACAGTGGGTGTGGCTGCAGAGCTCCAGGCTGGCAGCTGGGACCCCAGGCCAGCAGCGGAGCCCTTGGGACCAGTGACAGAGATCGGCAGCAGGCTGAGCAGGGCTGGCGGACGGAACCCCAGCTGGCAGGGGGCCAGTGGCTGGTACCCCAGGCCAGCAGCGGAGCCCCCAGGACTGGTGGCCAGGACCTGGGCAGTGTGAGTACCACTGAAAATCAGCTCGTATGCCACGTTTGGCATGCATGCCATTGGTTGCCTACCCCTGATCTATATTCTGTGAAGGGAAAAAAAAAAAAAAAATCTGTGGAGACCATGAATTCTTTATGTATGCAGCAGCACAGAATTCCCCCAAAACTAAACAGCCTTGGGCATTTAATACAGTTCTTAGTGGATAGAAAAAGGATTGTTATGGAGGACTTTGTCCGTTATAAATTTATTTTCCTGGAGGACTCTACCATGGGACTGAGTGTGAGGGGCAGGAAAATGATTTTTGAACTCCATGCCTAGTCTGCTACCAAGCAACAGCCTTGGAGATGTCACTGTTGCAAGCCGATTTTTGCTTCACTTTTCCTTCCACAATTGAATGAACCCTTTACAGTTGTGGTTTTCAACCTGTGGTCTGCGGACCCCTGGTGAACTGCAGACTATGTCTAAGGGGTCCACAAAAGGTTGCCATTACCATAGAACGGTGGTTTTCAACCTGTGGTCTGTGGATTCCTGGTAGTCCGCATACTATGCCTAAGATTTCCAAAGGGGTGTGCACCTCCATTTGAAATATTTTAGGGGTTTTCAAATGAAAAAAGGTTAAAAACCACTGCTCTATAGGAAGGGGGAAAGTATGTCCACTGTTTCCTCTTCTAGTGGATGGTTATATGATGCTTAATTCTGTGTTCCCAGATGTTATTCCTAGTGATCATTACCTGTGAGAGAGATCATTAGTAAACAATGAGCCCTGGGGTTCAGCTGGCCCTTACCAGCATGTCTGTTATGTTAATGTTTCTTTAAGTCAATGCATATAATGAATACATTCAATTTTTTCCCTTGAGAAACATAGCGAAAGAATCTTTCTTGCACTCTAAACAAAATAGAATATATATTGTTTAGTTACCAAATCTAGTGGGATTTTTTTTACACTGTATACTAAATATGCTATTTCTAATGTTTAATAGGAAAATATCAAAGATAAACTACGTCCCATTCCTGTATCGGTTGGCGTTAAAATCAGCGGTTCAGAATCTAGTTCACCATCAAAGAGAAGACAAGGAAGATCACTTCCAGATCTTGTTCCAATTCTAAATTCAAATGAACCAGAAACAGTGAGCTCAGAAGTAAGTCTCTTCTTGAATAGATCTTTGGAAGATGATGCAATGTGGATTGTTAAGCCATCAAAACACAAAGTTTGTATGACAGAAGAGTGGAGGTTGGGTTATTTGCATAGGTAATTAGTTCCAGTATGGTCTTCAATATTCAACTCCAATTCGAGAGAGAGAGAGAGAGAATATGAATGAATGAATGCATGGCACGTGCACTTGTATCAGAAGTCACTGAATTAAAGGCTGTAAAGAACTAAGTTATGACCAAAGAGAAGTAAGTGAGGAGGCACATGATATACAATTAATTTATAACCTCAGCTTTGGGATTATATGGGCTCTCATCACTTGTGGTAGCAGAAATTTAAAACGTGCTCCTGCATCCTCCTAAAACAGAAGTGAAGATGGCACAGCTGGTTAACACACTAACTAACTTTGCACCCCAGAAGATTCAGGTTGAAATTTAGCTTTGGTCACAAGTGAAAATTAATTGAGTTGTCTCATCCTTGTGAATGCATGTCCTACATCACACGAGCACTATGCAATTGTTTGCAGGGTCAGGGTGCCCTGGAACTTGGGATATGTCTACACTTCAAGCCAGGGCTGTAGTCCCCAGCTTGAGGAGACATACTTGTGTTTGCTCAACTCCCATTAAAGTAATGAGCAGGAGAGGCACATATCACTTCGAAACAGGGGGCCCCAAACTCGCCCAGTTTTTGTATTTCCACATGACCTGATGCTTTCACTTAGCAGCAACAGCATACATTGACAACAAAGCAATAGTGTCCCCATCTCCTTATAGCTGAAAAGGTGAAGTCAGACTAGGGCCTTGTCTGCGCAAAGAAGGGTCTATGAAGTGTCTATGGATCTGAACTAACTGTAGCATATATCAGCAACTATGTTTTGTTTTTTGAACATAGATTTTAGTATTGTTGTATGTCCTAAAATAAACTGACTTTTGGCTTTTGTATAGGTGCAGTTCTTAAAAGAAGGATGTGGAGAAGACAACATATGTAATAGCAGCCTAAAACTTCAATACAGATTCTGTACCAGAGAAGGAAATGAAGACAGATTTGCTTATTTACCAATGTAAGACTTAATTTATACATTAGCAAAAATTACTGCACTTGGGTGGATGTTTGGAGGGGATGTTTTTTTCCCTAATGTGTGAGACTTGTTATATTTTGTTTCCATAGTGAGAACAATGTTCCGGTGCTTGTCCTCAAAGATCAGAGGGATATTGCTCTAGAAATAACTGTGACAAATAATCCATCAGATGCAAAAAATCTCCAAAAAGATGGTGAAGATGCCCATGAAGCTAAACTAGTTGCAACTTTTCCAGATAGCTTGACCTACTCTGCTTTCAGAGAACTGAGGGCTTATCCTGTAAGTAATCCAGAAAACCAGGACAAAGGTATATTACATATATTTAAATACTTACTGTGTTTTGACTTCTGCATATCTTTAATTTAGGAAAAACAATTAACTTGTGGTGCCAATCAAAACGGTTCTCAAGCAGAGTGTGAACTTGGAAATCCTTTCAAGAGAAATTCCAATGTGAGTGGCTTGTTTTTTTCTTTTTTTAATTAAAGTTGGGCCTAATATATAAAGTTAGATTCTGGACCTAGTCCTGAAGTTTCCCTAAGTTCAAGGGTGTTTGTCTTGGGGTTTGATTTGGGGCCTATCCTTGTTTTCAACATTTCAGAATTCTGTGACGTGGTTTTTTTCATATAAAACAAAGTTTGTGCTCACAAAAATATATTCACCTAACATCACATTGTGTGGATTTTTTTCTTGTTTAGGTAACCTTTTATCTGATTTTAAGTACAACCAAAGTTAATGTTGACACAACTGATTTGGATGTTAATCTGAAGTTGGAAACGTAAGATTTTTCTGTTTTTACCTTTTCTCTTGGTGTTTTCCCATATACTTGTAAACATTAAGGAATGGCTTCAATTTGTTTTGTAAAGGCAATTTTATTGTAATGTGAAAACCTGTTAAAATTTAAAATAAACATTGCCATTTCCTTTTCATTATAGAACAAGCAATCAAGTTAATTTGGCTCCAATTACTGCTACTGCTAAAGTGGTTATTGAATTGCTTTTGTCACTCACTGGGTAAGTGTTTATAGTTAGCATAACAAATCAATGTGAGAATGAACCTTTGCTGCAACCCGTACTAAAATATGATCTGTTTTTTTTTTTAAAAAATTGAACAGAGTTGCTAAGCCTTCCCAGGTGTACTTTGGAGGTAACGTAATCGGTGAGAGTGCTATGAAATCTGAAGATGATGTTGGAAACATAATAGAATATGAATTCAGAGTGAGTTGATCTAGATTATTAAAAACTCATGATTGATTTTTTTTTCCTGACACTTATATTAGTATTTTAAAATCTGGCTGATTCGAAGATGGCTGCCCTAGCACCCGAATCATCACCATTAACCACCTCCTCCTCACTTCCACAAAACACAGCCTGACTGGCCCATCAAGACTGGGGCTTCCTCCAGCCTTGAAAGTTTAGGTTCACACTTCCAAAAAGCATCTTCCATTTGTTTGTGTGCAGTCCCCTGCACGTACAATTTTCCAGCATAAGCATCCATGCCTACAGGTAAGAAAACTTACAAACACAAAACCCATCAATGGTATGCCCAGCGTTAGTGCTCAGAAAGTATGTGCAGATATTTGTGCACGTAAAGCCGAGCATCCACAAACCAGCTGTGTTGCAGCCCTTTTTGAAAATATGGCCCTGTAAGCTCACTCTCTTGGCCTTCTGCCTTTTAATGACTAAGACAAGGATCTCAAATCCATGGATCTCAAATGGTCTGCAGGTTCCTGAATGCTCTCCAGTGTTGAGAATGTAAATTTTTGCTCCATGTATTTCCCTCCATCCACACATTTGTGCTCCACACTTGCTCAGTGTAGCCCATTCCTTTTTTCTCAAGACTGGCTGCTCTTGCATCAGAACCACCCCTTTGTTCCCCACCTTCCAAAACACATCCTGACAGGCTGTGGTGTGTTTTTGAAGCTGGAATCCTGGTCTCCTCTCCTCATGCCCCCAGTGGACACATGACAAGGTTGTTAATTTCTGCATTCATGGCCTCTGTCAGAGGGTTGGAGAGAGGGGCTTGAGGGGAAGGGAAAGGAGCATGTCTCAAGTTCAGGAGCACCTAGATCCGTTTTCTTTATCATTTGTGTCCCTGCCTTGGGCTCCTGAAGACTTCCTTCTGCAGCTCTCTTTAAATATAGCTGATTCAGTAATGCAGACTACTTGGTGTGGTTTGTAGTTTCTGTGGCTCAGTGATGACAAAGGTCTAGATATTGCAGCATTGCTCTCTGACTCAAAAACAACTATCCTACTACTGGAGCAAAACGGACAGAAGTGTAATTCTGTGGCACCAGATGTTCCCTTATAGTTGTAATCCTCCTGCTTGTCTATAACTGAGCACATTTTTGCTACCGCCAGAACATTCTGGCTCCTGTTGCTGTCCTACAGGAGAATAGATCCCACTTACGTTTTCAGAGACTACTGGGCCAGGGAGCAGCCATCCCAATGGTTCCTGCACTGGAAAACATTTTAACACTATATATGGCTGCTATCAGCCAGGCCAGACACAGGCTTTATATATGCTTTTTGCTTACTTTTTCACCTTTTGTATTCTGTTCAGATCTCATCGACTAAGTCTTGCAACTACTCTAGTTTTATTTTTATCAATAGAACTTTTAAATAAAACTTTAGCAAATCTAGTTTCTCCTGATTTTTGTTGTACAATATTGTCTACTAGATCATCCAGAACATTATGCTGTGATAATGTCTATAATTAGGAAGGTTTGCTACCTTTTATTTCCAATCAGAAGTTGTTTGGCAAATCCAAAATGTATGGTATCTTCGGAATTTGTGTTTTCCTGTGATTTTATTTTTAATACCAGAAAAACCCTTCTTCAACAAGAGTCAGTGCAGATCTGTAGCTGTAAATTCTAGTTTATAAGAGAATCTGTGGATTTTTGTATTCCTAACAGATAACTAACTTGGGTAGACCACTTAAAACATTTGGCACAGCTTCCTTGGACATCCAGTGGCCAAAAGAAATCAGCAATGGCAAATGGCTACTTTATTTGATGAAAGTAGACTCCAAAGAATTGGGGAAAATCCCTTGTGAACCTCAAAATGAAATAAACTCTTTGGGACTTGAGGTATGTTAATGTACTTTCCACCTGTTTATAAGCAAGGTCATATAACATTAAAGCACAACTGGGAGTGTGTTAGTAGGATACTGGTGCCTGCCTTGGAATGAGCTTTGTATCTTCAATGACTCAAGAAGTGCATCAATCTCCTATGCTAATATACATCCTGCCATAGCTATTAGACTATGGCTCCTTCATTTTACATTTAAAAGCAAAACCATTTTAAAACCTAATTTATATTTTTAATAAAGCAATGACCCTTTCCATGATGGAAAAACAGTTCATGGTGAAGAGATAAGGAAAACAGGGCAACTATTTATACCTTTTTAAAACATTTTTTTTAAAGCCAGCTTAGACTGCTTGAACCTCTTCTTCTTTTTCTTGTTCCTCATAAACTTAATTGACCTTTTGCCAGCAGCCAGTTTGTGTGTCGCCTTCAGCTGAAAATTAAAGTGCCAAGCCTGAAGCCCCCCTGACAAAATTCGTCTTGCCTTCAGAGGAGATTTAGGGTTGGTACCGAAGTTAGATTTTCTAAGAGGGCCACAAAGTGTTGCCTGAAAGAGCTGGGATCCTGAAGGAAGGGAAGCTTTTGAAATTGCTAGACTCTGTTCTCAGCCTGCCCTTCTCTACTCTCTACCATCTTTTCACCCTCTCCAATAGCAAGCTTCAACTGAAGAACTGCCCAACTGCTCCTTAAACTCCCAAGTATTGTTGCCAGGCTGTAGGAGAAGCCAGTGAGGAGAGCCAGGATCAGTGCTTTAAAGAGCAACAGCCACGTACCCTCTCAGCTCAGATGCGGTGTTCAGCAGAAGTAGAGAAGGGTCGGGGCTTCTTTTAACTTCAAAGTGTACAGAGGAGAAAATAGGCAAGAAGAGTGGGGAATGGATGGTTTGATATCTGTGGAACTACTCACGTTCTTAAAGTTTTATAAATGCACAAAATGGAGAAGAGAGATTGCCCCCCTCCCCTTTATTTGTCTGTTTTAGTAATTTTGAGACAAAAAAATCACACAAGTTTGTGTGATTTCTTTAACTAGAAAATGCTTTTTCTTTGTTCTGTAATTTATTAATAGACTTCACTTAACCCAATGTTTGCTTTAAAAGAGCTTTCAACAGAATGGGTAAACAAGGACAAACTAAGTGTCTGTTTTTACACTAACACGCTAAAATAATTTTTACTGAAATTTGGCATTATTTACCCAAGAACAAAGGGTAGACAATAATAAACATCCGTCCAAATCCTGTGAGCCCTTTGCACACATTGCTTGCATTGAATTCTGTGGGAGTTCCACGTGGAGGAAATTGCAGGATTAAGTCCATCTTTTTTTTTTTTTTTTTTTAAGTGGATATAAACCACAACTAAAAGGACTTTTAAAGCTAGGTATGTAAATAATCTCTTCACCATCCGAGTATAATTGGATGCATAATGCATGCTTTGTTTTGTACATGTAATGTACTTCTAAAGTGTGTGCGCCAAATTCTGTCCTCACTGATATCCTTGCAATCCCAATTATTTCAAACTGATTACATGTGTAACGGGTATAACTGAGAGCAGAATTTGTCCAAGGGACAGATTGTGCATGTCTTTCCTTTTTAAATGCATTACCTGACTTGCCAAAAAAATATTAAATTCATATGCTTCTACTAAACAACATGAACTCTCTAAGTGTTTTGTAAAAACTTGTAAGTTTCCCATTGAAACCTAATTAGTAACTCTGGGAGTGTGCAACACTTTTATTGTACATACTCAGTGAACAAATTTATCAGGAGCGTATCTGCCTACTTTGGAATATATGCAGTGTTTTTCTTGTGTGTTGGACCGTGGATATTAGAAAGACAAGGTGGGTGAGGTAATATCTTTCATTGGACCAACTTAAGGAAAAAAACTATTCTAATGAGCGTAGTAGGAATAGCACATACTCACTCACTTGTTGGTTAAAAAATGAAATGGCTTTGAAGCTGAGTGCAAGTGAAACACTTTGCCTCACTGCTCTCCATTTTTGTTTAGATCACTTTTTTAAGTTACAGCTTAAATCCTAGTAATTGCTGTGATAGCAGCATTCAGTGCTAGCAGGAATGCATAGAAATACTGTCTGTGGCAGCTGCGCTCAGATATGGAATCCTGGTGGTCATGCAGCAGATGCATACATTTGCCTTGTGTGACACCTGTATTAGCCCTATTGTCGCCATGTTCTTCTTTCGTCTCCATATTTTTACTTGGAGGGTCAGGTTTAGGAAATACGTTTGTGATACAACCAATTAATGGAGGAATGAATGTTTTACACTGGGGCGAAACAGCTTCAGATTTGTCTGTATTTATTCCTAGGGCTGCTTCTTGAAACTGAAGCTCTGTTCAAGTCTAAAAAAGGAAAACTTGTTTTTACCTGAGCTATGTTTACAGTATATAAATAATTGAAAACGGGATTATATTATGGGAACTGCAACTGACACTAAACATGCCTGATTTTTGGCCAATACCACTACCCTTTAGTACTTGAATTGCTTTTTAACATCTCCCAAGAAACTAAATATTTAAATGCCCAATATTCAAAGAGTCTTTTCCACATTTCTGTTCTGCCTAATAATCCATTTCATATAGTGTATCATCATATAATTCTTTGTTTTAAAGGAGTCCCACAGGTCAAGAAGGAAACGTGAAATTGCAGAGAAGCAGACTAATGATGGCAAAAAAATGTCTGTATTTTCAGAAAGAAAATATAAGACCCTGGTAAGCATTTCCATAGCAAAACAACAATTTCTCTTCAATCTCTTTACCTTCCCTTCACTCCTACAGAACCTTTTTAGGTTTAGCCAAGTGAAGGAAGGCATTTTGTTGTATAGATATTCTGTTTGACTTTTATAACTTGTTTTTTAATATTATTCTCTCCTAAATCTGGTATATTGGGATAATTTCCAGACTGCTGTAAAAGAACAATTGAGTACATATCTCTAGATTTAATTAGCAATGTATCTAGGTAAGCATTTAGCTTTCAGAAATGGACTTTAAAAGGGAGCAGGATAACTAATAAGAACAAAGTAAAGAAATCATTCACAGACTGATTCCTACATTTTAACATATTAGGATGGATGTTATCAACCAATCTTATCGTTGAAATTAATAAGTTTTGCCATTGATTTCAGCAAGCCAAGGATTGGTCCTTCTAAAGGGACCACACCTTTAAGTCTACTTAAGACATACATCTTCCTGTTTCTTTGAAAAATTACAAGACGGGTTAAAATAGTTGTAGCAAATATTTTTCTGTAAAATGTGACTTTTGAAGTGTGTCTATATGTATATTTATTTAAATTACAGGACTGTAATGAGAGTGCACGCTGTGTGAATATAAAATGTCCCTTGCAAGGCTTGGACAGAAGGGCAATGGTTGTATTGCGTTCAAGATTGTGGAACAGTACTTTCCTTGAGGTATGTTCTATTGCTATTCTTGAGGCATTTGCACACTCTCCTGTCTTTTCTCTTCTAATGTATCCTCATTATATTTTGAAACAGGAATATTCTAAGCTGAACTACTTAGATATTCTCGTTAGGGCTACAATCAGTGTTCCTGCTGCAGCTGAAAACATTAAGCTCACAAATGAAGGTGCTCAAGTGAGTTTTCAAAATTTCTTTAACATGGTTTGTACATGTGAAGTTTCCTGCGTATATAATATGTATTACTCCTGGGGGAATTCTGAACCACTGTGCAAGTGCAGACTAATGTCCCCTGGAGATTTCTCTTTCCCTACAGAATAATTGATTTATGTGCCCTCCCAGGCAGTGGTCCCAAGTGGGTATGTCAGGAGCTGCCAGGGGAGATGTAAATCACTGCCTCAGGGGGCAGGACTTGGCATGCTTGCAAGACACTGTCCCTATTGCCCACTACCCTGGTGCTGGGGAGAGGCAGGGCTGGGGATGCCCTGGCTGGTGGCTCCTAGCCTGTGCAGGGCTCCAGCTGCTAGTCTGGATTGGGACAGGACTTCCTCTTCCCCTGTCTTCAGGAAGCTCTGCACACTCTCCCCTTTCACTCACCACTTCCTCCCCTCACTGCTCCAAAGCTGGGGTCGGAGGGGGTCACTGTCTGTGGAGCTGCCCCGCTCCCTGGATCCTGACACCCACCCCACCAAGCCCCACACACTGATTTACAGTGATGGCTAGAGTCTAGGATTGTGCGGGGTGGGAGGGTCCCAGAGCATTGGCTCCAATCTGAGGCTGGAAGTCTGCACAGCAGCAAAACAGCCCCACAGCCTGAGCCCCCAGTTGGCTGGCACAGGTCAGCTGTGGGTTTTTCCTTTGCTGAGTAGACATACCCTTAAAGTCTTCTGTGTCTGACGTATATGGAAATACTAGTAATGCCATTTGCTCTGTAGAGCCATAGATCTATGCCTAGTAAGGAATCTATTTGTCAAAAAACATTTCCTGGATCTTGTTTGGTGTCTGTATTATTACAGACATACTTGCTGACAGCTATTGTGAAATAAATTACCAAAATAATTGAAAATGGCATAATTATAGTATGTTGTTTTGGCAGAATTTTAAAATATTGCACAGAATTTCCTTAGGAGTAATGGATCACATATTGTATAAAGTGAACATTCTAATCCAGAAGCTTCTGTCATCACTTTTGGTTCCATAGATCTTTCTGTTCCTTAGCAAGAGGCATCCTATATGATAGGAGAGTGAACACTGTAGGTTGTACACAGTCATTTTTAGCTAGATTTGGTCACCTTTCCAGCCCCCCAAGCTGTGGAAAGCCATGGGTCCTGGCTTTGCAGGAGGCTGTCTTACCTGTAGCAAAGGTTTTTCTACTGCAAAACCCAGAGCTTTGTGGTTGCAAGAGCTGATCAGGTAAGGAGAAAATATGCATATTAGGGTTCTCTGCCTCCCATGCTGCAGTATTTCTAATTCTGTGGGATGCTGAATGGATCACCCAGTAGAAATTAATCCAGTTATATGCTGTGTGGGTTGTGAGGAGGAATAACATAATTCCAGGTCAGTCTTCTGGACTAGATACTTCTTTGGAGGGAAAAAAAAGAATATTGTTGTTTTGCGTTGCATTGGCAGAGATGGAATCAGAGCCCCATTGTGCTGTGTGACATTCAAGAACTTAATAAAATGACAGTCCCTGCTTTGAGTTGGGCAGGTTTATTTATTTTTTAACATCTCTTTCCCCAACCTCATCCACAAAAATATTATAATTCAGGAAGGATTCTGGTGAATGTTTAGTTTAACCCAGTACTTCCCCATAGGCTCTTTTCTCATACTCTCCTGGCTGTCTTTGGCATGGAGCTTTCAGCTAGGGAACAGTTCAGTACTTCTGGGCTGTAGGCCCTACATGCGTTTGAGCTTCTATTCGTCTGGAAGAATTCACTGGCACATCTAACCTGAGTATGTCCGATGGAATCCCCACCCTCATTCTCAAGAGCCAGGCACAGTCAGCTGCTGCTCTTGAAAACTGGGTGGTAAAAAATGCTTCAAGTAGGTATTTAAGAATTGTAGGAGACATAATGTCATCTTCAGACTAGTGACTAGCCTCCATAGCTCAGAAAGCTCAAGGCACTACTGTAGAAGTGAATTTTGGTTTACAATTAGGAACTTGTTAAACTTTGCATCCCCCTTACTTAAAACTTTTCCCCTCCCTTAGGTGCGAGTTACTGTCTTTCCTGCAAAGACAGTAGCACTTTATACAGGAGTGCCTTTGTGGATCATCTTGGTGGCTATTCTTGCTGGAATACTGATGCTCGCACTGTTGGTGTTTTTACTGTGGAAGGTGAGTTATTTTACAAATCACTCTTGTACCTGAAAAGATAAGTCAGCATATGAAATAAGGCAGAAAACTAGTTAAGCAACTCCAAAAATGCATTTCAAAATATTGCTATTGGGACGCTGTCTATTTAATCATTAAACAAGTTTCATTTTATGCTACTAGTAAAAACCTTACTGAAAATTAATTTTAAAATCAAGGTGTGTTTTATTTTAATTATTTCTCATCTTGGAAAATGACCAGTGAAGTTGTATTTTTGCTTTGTAGTAAAAATTAATAGTAATAATTTCACTTTCTGCAACATTTGGCTGAAAAAAATGCATGGAAATGTTTGTTTAAAATGTTTATTGGCGTTTTTGAAATACTTCTGGAACCATTTCTATTTGTTAGCTATTGTACACAAACTTTTATAAATCCTAATTTTGGTGATATGTTAACTTTTTATATTGTAAAAAATGTTATTTAACTTGACTGGTATGTGAATTAGATCTGATTGGGGTTTACAGTTCAAACCACTTCAAATTGGCCTGTTCATTGAAACTGTCAAAATGCATGTATCACAAATTAGTACTAGCTACAGTACTTGGAACAGTAACACTTCTTGTTCTGATAAAACATTATTTGGATACATTCTTGTGGCTTGAGAATATTATGAGGATACTAGATGCCTATTAATACCCCAGACAGAATGCATTGTTACTTTATGTACAATGTGTTAAGAAGCTAATAATGCAGTATCTTAAAACCTACTTTCTCCTTTTTAAGTTAATACAAGATTAAAGCTTTGTTTATAAAGACAAAAACATAACTGTTTGGCCTTCTTCTTTCATTCTTGCTGGTTTGGTTCTTAGGCTTAGTGTCCCAGTTGCAGATCACCTAAGAATTCTGCTTCCTTACAGAGCCACCATTGTCAGGGGAAACCAGTAGTGGGGCAGGAATCCTAGTTTTAAGTGGAAGAATACAATCCTCTTATTCCTGATTCCCACCCACACTCCAAAATTCCTAACTCATCCTTGTTGCTAAGGAAGCAAATGCCTGGATTAGGAAAATCCCTTCAGTCCTTGGTACCATCTGGTGCTCTGACACTTCCACTATGTCTTCAGAAGAGACCCTGAGGAATTTCACTTGAAAATTTCCTTCTTTGAACAGCTGCTATTCTTTGCTGACCATAAAGGGTGCTCTTGTTCAGAGTTCGTAAGGTGCCCTTGAATTCCCTTTTGATTGTCCTGTTATGCTTTCTTCCAGTAGGTACATCAGCCTCTGTTGCAAAGTAACAGCACAGAACTGCCAAAAAAATTTGCTTCTGATTAAATTTTTAATAACTCGAAGTGCTACTTTTTGACTACTAAGGATTATAAGATCAGATTAACATTGCACACGTGTGTGGTTTGTATTCAGCAGTTGTTAGATCTAGATCTATTTTATATTGAAAGACTATCTATGTATTTTATACTGAAAGAATTGAAACTGCTTATGAAGCTTACACTGTTCTCTAGTAAATAGAATATAATATGCCTACCTCACCACAAGGGCAAAAATGATAAATTACTTAATTTTTTATGTAAAAGCAACAAGAACTTTCAGCCATTGTGGGGAAGGACAGTAGAGTCCTGAAGAAAATAAGTGACCATCTCAAAGCAAAGGACATACACATGACCCTTTTGTGTTTCTACCATTTGAGCATTGTAAGGGTGTCTTAAAATGTGTGAAAATGGTGGTATTCCTTCTCTTACCTGGTGTATTCTTTACTTGGAGCCAATCCATAAACTCTTGGGTCTCAAATAATATCCTGTTGCTCTGTAGTACTAGTGTTAGTTGTTAACAATACTTAATCTGTATTTTTACAATACCTTGTTTTAGATATTTTAAAATGCTCGTTAAACAATTGGCTAAGATTTGTGACTCTGCCTGCTGTCGACATCAATGTGCCCTAGGATTCTGACAGATTAGTTTTAAACTAGAACATGGTGTAACACATTCTCTCTCGCTTAGAGGAGGTGGTTTTTGGGGTTTTTTTGGTTCTGCATAGAGGGGACATGATTATCCTGGGAAGTGTTTTGAAATACCTTTTTCCATTCTCATCTATGTTCACAATTAATGCTCTTGTGAAAGGGATGGGATGGTAAGAATTACTGTCCATCCCATTTGATTGTCTTGTGAATTGGCTTTAAAATGGTTTAATGGTTGTCACTTTTTTCCTCAACATATCAATCCATAAAATTGACTAAATACCTTGCTTCCTTGTAGTGTGGTTTCTTCAAGAGAAGTAAGAAAAATCATTATGATGCCACATATCACAAGGCTGAGATCCATACTCAGCCATCTGATAAAGAGAGGCTTACTTCTGATGCATAGTATTGATCTACTTCTGTAATTGGTAATTGATCAATATTTTTTTAATTTCTAGCTGTGGGACATGCTATGGTTGTGGTGGCTAACAATGGGAAGCTTGCTGCTGGGTTTCAAAATATCAATATCTGCTTGCTTACTCTGTTTATAATCACTTTTTTCAGTGCATGAGAAGAGACACAGGCTCTTACATATTACTTTCAATGCTTTTTGTCTGTTTCAACAAAAAATCTTAACCGCTACAGTGGAATTTTACACACTGAAATTATAACTTATCTAGCATTTGTATATTAAGTATTTTAAATTTTCAAACTTTACACATGGTAACCACAGAGAGTAAAGTTTTAAGATGTAAAATAAAGTTTACCTGGTTTTGTGTTAGTGTTTCCTGATATTTGGATGTTACATGAATTGCTTTATTAACCTCTTATGCATGCTAAAAGCCTTGTGCTGCTCATGATGAAAAGGCATTTCTTTATAATTATAATTATAAAAATTATTTTTAATAATATAAAATAATAATATAAAATAATCAGTTGCTGTGGAAACTGATAAAGGTTTAATCATTTTTGGTTGCTTCTTAAGAAATTCTAAAATATACTCTGCTGTGATCGGAACACATGTTTTATACTTTTAGTAAATTTTGCTCAGAACAGGAAATCATAAATGTGGTGTGTGTATATCTATCTAAACTGATGATGCTGGGGGATCTAACTAAAATCTGTCAACACTGTGCACACAATGAAAGGATAAATAATAGAGATGAGCTTAAATCAAACCTCTGAACAGCCCCAGAATTTGGAAAACTATATACCTGAATACTGGTTTCAACTTTTTCTCCTACCATTTATCATCTTTAAAAGACTCTTTTTTCAGTATTACATAATTAAAGAGCAATATTTCTTACAAGTTTGCAGTAGACCACTGAATTTAAGTATTCTGCTCAGAAAGCTTTTGTAGTAAACTCTGTCTACTCTGTGTCTGCATATCACTTCATTTCTAAGGCCCTGATCCTGAAAAGCCATTCTCATATGCTTGACCTCAGTGGGACTATTCACTGTGCAAAGTTAAGTGTGTGCATATATAACTGTGGAAGACCAGGGCCTCCATGGTCAACTGTTCATCCCAGCTTTTCTTCAGTCAATTTTTAATGGAGAACATCTCCCACTCTGACCCTACACTCTTGCACCCTTTTTACTAATCAAATGCAATGCATCCCTTGACTCAGTTTGAGTCTACAGATGAATGAACAAAATAAATTGTACCTATAATCAAATATTGGCTTAAAACAAACTACTATATTCAGAAGGTTGTTTGGTAAGTCTTAGCTTTTGAGCTCCTGAGACCCTAATATAATGCCTACTGAAGTTAGTGGGAGTTTTTCAATGGGAACTGGATTATACCCAGGTTCAGGAAGGTACTACATGCACACACTTAACTTTAAGAATGTATTTAAATGCTTTCTTGACTAGGAATTATCACAATTTCAGATTAACTGCACCTGTATTCCTGAGGTCACTCACTTAAAGGTTCTGTGCGCGCAGCCCTTCTGACCATGGGTTACAAGGCTTCCCAGTTCCCTCTACACTTTGATATTCTGAGTGAGACTGCATAGACAGGCTAGCGTCTGCAGTTCAGTAGCACACAGCTCTTCCTAAGCCAACGCATTTATTAAGGTGAAAGCATTACAGAGAAGACAACAATAAAAAGCTCCATGTATGCTAAAAAGTTTACCAGAGGTCAAAACCCACACCTGGATTTTCCATGGTTTACAAATTCATAAGAACCCAGGCTGAGCAGTTCATGTTTGTTTATGCATTTTGGGCTTGGGATCTCATCTCCGGAACAGGTAATCCACAGAAAATGCCCATAACTTTAAAAGGCCAAGAGTTTGTATTACCAAAGGTGGGGGAATTCACATTAACCTCTCCCCCCTAGGTCCGGGGTTCTCAGACTTTTGTATTGGTGACCCCTTTCACACAGCAAGCCTCTGAGTGCAACCCCCCTTAAATATATAAAAAAGTGTTTTTAATGTATAACACCATTATAAATGCTAGAGGCAAAGCGGGGTTCGTGGGTGGATGCTGACAGCTCCTGACCCCCCATGTAATAGCCTCCTGACCCCCAGTTTGAGAAGCCCTGCCCTAAGTATTCCCCAGAAAATCCACTTCACATCCCAGAAGTCCATTCTTGTGTGGCACATTTTCCATATAGTCCTTTAATCTCCCAGGCCTCGCATCACATCTCGTTCCTGACCCACAACAATACACAAACTTTGCATTTAATACAACTGCCTCCAAAGATACTTACTTAATTTGATAAGGATTTTTCAAGGAACTGCCATATTTATCACAGGGATGCTTTCCTGAACTGGGACTTTAATCTTGCAGTGCAAAGGCCTAGTCTACAGTTACAAATTAGCTGTGTTGCTCAAGTCTGTGGAAAAACTGTTCTGTGTGACAGTTAGATTTAATTAACTACCAGTGTAGATACAGCTAAGTCAATGGAAAAATTCTTCCATCTAATTACCTACCATTCAGAGAGGTGGATTAACTACAATGGAAAAAAATCCTTGTCGCTGCAGGAAGCAACTATGCCGCAGTGCAATGGTGGCACAGCAGCAGCACTGTAGCATAGACACACGCACACTCTCATGAGCAGTCCTACGGATGTCAACAGGAATTAATGCTATAGGACTGTGCATCTAAAATTAGCCTTACAAAATTAATGGAAGAAATTTGTTTTACACTCTTGAATTGTTGGATTGTGTAGTTTGCTTTCACCTGCTGCTGATAGTTGTACTTTAAAGACTTTGTCAGAGATCTGACATCTGTAGACCGCATGCATTTAAAAAAAAAACAACTTTTCAGTTACCTTGCCTGTCACTTCTTTGAGAGAAGCCATTTCTTTTGTACTAATGCAAGCAAAGAATTCTAGACTTTTATGCTTACAGTACTTTGATTGTGATTTAATCTTAAACTGTTCCCTTTCCCAGTGTGGATTCTTCCAGCGCTCCAGGTACGATGACAGTGTCCCCCGATACCATGCTGTAAGAATTCGGAAAGAGGAGCGACAGACCAAAGACGGGGAACATAAAGAGAATCTTGAGAAAAAACAATGGATTACAAAATGGAATGAAAATGAAAGCTACTCCTAGGGAAAATTTCCCCCCTCAATCCAATTCAGACAATTTTAATATTTCTTCATTAATGGAATACTGATGGACTCAGACCTACATACAATATGGAACTATATTTTTGATTGTAGATATTTTTACTTATATTGAAGCTTTTGTTTTGCACAACTAAATTTAAGATTGCTTGACTGATTTAGCTGCATTATTTAAACTTCCAGATAGTCAGAGACAAGAGGCAAACTTGCATTTATAAAATGGTGCATTGAACTGAGCATTCTATGAAATATGCACATTATGTTTTAATGATGCCACAAAAAGTCTTTTTCTGCATTCTTGGACATCAATGGATGTGCAAGGAATGCAGGATCTGGTTCCAGATATATTCTCCAAATTTCCATCACAACATACACACTGTAGCCTCGACACACTTTATGCAAATAGAATTTGGGGAATTTGTGAATATGCTATTCTTGTCATAAGACTCTGCAGCTATGGTAGTTAGGGCTTAACCTAAAGTGTCTTAAATTAAATGTGCAATAGGTCATGTTGCTATTTTTCTCACACCAAATATACACAGGTTTAAAAAAAAGGCTTGAATATTAGTTGTATGTTTTTGTATATATTTTTGTATTTATTTTTTTTTTAGCAGCAACCGTTTGTCTTTGACTAATTAGGCCAAAGACTTAAGTGAACTTTAAAACTGGTATGGATGTTCTTAAATAGGATATGAAAGTCCAGTTAGACATGAAACTTTCACTGCATTTAAAGAGTTCCTGAGGAGTGCCAGTGCTTTTTTAAAATGCAAGTTTCAATCACTGACACATCCTTGAAATAAAAACATTCATTCCAGGGGTTTGTGGGGGCATTTTTTCTTATTTCTGTTTATGCAGCAGGATTTAGGAAAGATGTGGACGAACTGGAGAGAGTCCAGAGGGAAGCAACAAAAATGATAAAATGTTTAGAAAACCTGGCCTATGAGGAACAGGTGTACTAAAAAAACCAACAGGGCATGTATTTAATTTTGAGAAAAGAAGACTGAGGGGGGGAAACCTGATACTAGGTCTTCAAATACCTTAAAAGCTGTTGTAAAGATTAAATTATTCTCTGTCCTCTGAAGGCAAGACAAGGAACAGTGGGCTTAATCACAGCAAGGAAGATTGAGGTTAGATATTAGAAAGTGTTTTTTTTCTTTCCTAATTATAAGGGTAGTTAAGCTCTGGAATAAGCTTCCAAGTGAGGCTGTGAAATCCCCTCAGTGGGGGATTTTAAGAACACCTGTCAGGCCTGGTCTAGGTTTTACTTGGTCCTGCCTCAGGGCAGAGGCCTGGACTTGACTTGACTTCTCAAGGCCCCCTGCAGCCCTTCATTTCTGTGACTAATTATGTTCCTGTAACATAATGTGTGTTAATTGAGAATATTTTAAATTTTCTTTTGTACATCCAACATGTATAGGTTTTTCTATTTAATTTTTATACTTAATACAAAAAGTGAGGTGCTTCTGGAACAATTTTCCAGCTCTGTAAGGATTTCATGTTTAGAGAAAGGTGTGTCTACTACTGAAAATGTTATATAGCACTTGAAAGAAAACATAAGCTCCTATCTGTCCTTAACAATGGCTCTGCACTGATCCCTTTTGAGACTACTGAGTGATGTCCTAAATATATAGCTAAATGTTAATTGTAAGAATAGTGCCACAATGTTGTGCTGCTCAGTAACCTAATTGTTGTAACATAACAGAGCTATTTAAAGAGTTTATTGGTTTTTTTAACTTGCATTCTAAAATGTTGGTACTATTTAAATAATTCAGATTTCTTATTCCATATGAAAAATACTAATGACCTGTGTGAATAATTTTTTTTGCATAGGGATGAGAATTATGCAAAAACTTGTTAAAGTATTTTCTTTACAAGCTGCTAGCTTTACCTTCCCCCAGAAGTCTATTGTTTTAATGCAGACGGCTGGGGTGACTGAAGCAAGCAAGACTGGTCACCAATTATGTGGATGGGTTTGGTTTTGTACTACTATTCATTTCTTTCCTTCAGTCAGGCTTTTTGAAGCTTTGTTTCTTTCAAAATGTTATTTTAGAAGCTGCATTCTTTTGCTTCAAGGTTAACAGGTCCCATGTGTAATTTTCCTCCTTCCTCCCATCATATACTTCCAAAATTACATTGTGACCCCTGTTTTGCAACATTTGTGTGTACATAGCTGTTTACTGCATATTGTCAGTCTGTCTCCCTAATGAGAGCTACAGCAGTGTTTAAAATCCCAGCTCCTTTGCCGAGTGGCTCAAAACCCCAAGAAACTGAGCTCATCATTTGCAAAGAAATGGGAATTTTGAGACTGTAGCAGCCCTAGTTAAAACAAAACATATGGTTAGGTATGTGGCACCCTCTTTATAAAAAGAGCAAAATAAAAAATGTCTTGGCAGTGTTAAATTTAGGACTATTGAAAATTAATATCTCAAGTCATGGCACTGGTATACTATCCTCTCAAACACAACTAATAATGCTAAATCATTCCAGGATTAGAAATTACCTGTGGATATTTGTATAAAAGTGTGAAATATTTTTTTTAATTAAAATACATATTGCCTTGATATTACTGTATATTTCTTACAGGACAAGTTTCTTTTATCAGACTGAATTGTTGAATTATGTAACATAAAATAAGCATTAGCAACTGAGTTTCTGTAAGTGGTGCTTAGATTTCACAGCTCACCAATTTGTTATAACTAAAGCCAGCCTGCTCTATATGTAATTTTCAGCATGAATTAAAGCAAGAAATAAACATGATGATGAACCATTTAATTTGTTACTAGTCTACTTAAAAATCACTGGGTTATATATAAAAGGGGAAGGATTTACATGCTATATTTAGGTGTTAATGCCAAATCCTACTGGCCTCACCCCTGCAGGTAGTCTGATGCAGAGGCCTTGTTTACATGAGACAGTTGCACTTTGACTCTCTGCAGCCCAGTATCACTCTCAGTTCTGTGGCACATGGGCTGTCACAGCAGTTTGCAGAGGTGGATAGTCCTTGCCTCCTTGCACAGCTGCTGCCTCCACTGGAGCAGTCAGTGGCAGTTCGCTTTGCTCCCAACCATATCTTTGCTAACTAAGATTTTTTTAGGGCAGTAACTGAGCACCTTTTAATATTCTCCTCCTCCTCCCCATGCAACCTATGCAGTGTAGAGGTAAGTCAATTTACTTGCCAATTCTGTAGCACAGAATTCCTCTAATTTAAAGGGTTTTGCACAGATCATGACTTCCTGTAGTTGCAAGAGACTACAGCTGGGCTTTCTATAGGAACCCTCTCAGTAGAAACAATAGGTTTCACTTTTTCTTAGAAATCCAGTACTAGTCTTTATCATAAGATAGCTATGGGCGTACATAGATACAAATTCCTTTTTATGAACAACACTCCAAAGATAAATCATTACAGCACAGCAGTTAATGCACCCTATCTAGGCTAATATCACTAACTAGACATTTTTCTTTAAAATAAATATAACAAAGTACATATATTTATAAAACCTTACAAAATAAATACAGGGATAGGGATGGGGACTTCTGACAATTGGAGATTTTCTGCTTTCACATAGGCTCACCCTGGGTATTATACTGACGATTAGACATTTAGTTGTACTACATAATCGGTTGTTTCAGCATCCTCATTACTGAGCACATACAACTTCAAGAAAGAAAAAACAACCACCCACCATAGCTACTGTAGCCATTAGGCTCATACAGTGTCTTTGGTTCAATGATGTAATGCAGTGGTCCCCAACCTTTCTTGTGGGAATAGCACATTGCTATTCCCAGGAGACCGTGGTGGGCGCCAGACACCTCGCCGCCGAGAAATGGCAACGCTTCTCGGCGGTATTTCGGTGGAAGTGTGTTCTGCGGGTGCACAAAAATGCCCCAGTCCAGTGGGCGCCATGGCGCCCATGGGCACTGCATTAGGGACCCCTGATGTAATACAACTCAAAGACATTTGGCCTCCAGTCTGCAATTCCTCTTTTAGGGGACCCATTGCTTTCTGTACAAAAATTGTATTGGGATCCAACCCCCAGGTTGAGTCCGGCAGCCCTATTTGACTGGTGCTCAGACTGACTGACACTTTTGTACCCCTGACAGCACTCACTACTGAGTGGCCAGCAGCTTCTACCTTCTAACTAAGGGGGGAATGTATATACATGCAGGAATGTTTGCCTTTAATGAAGCCTTTGCCAGTACCAAAACAGCTACTGAGCAAGGTTAACTTCCGGCACTCCCTATAGTGTGCTGAAATAGCAACTACTTCTTTACAGTCACTTATGGCCAGGGGTAGTCAACAGGCAGACCACAGGCCAAATCCAGACTGCCAGATGCTTTTGAACAGATCCCAACAACTTTTTTTTCCTTTTAATTATTTTCTCTGGCGTCTGGATCTTGACAAAAAATAACTGACTACTCCTGCTCAAGGCTCTGTACAGCCACGTTACCAGTGAATGTTTGTCTATCACCTCAAGAACAAGTAGAAACAGAAGCTGTGATTAAAGCCATAGGTGTTTCTTGCTGAACACCATGAAAGAAGAAAAAGAAAAGGGGGGTACACCAGCTTCAGGTAAATTGGTAATGAGATGACTAAAACTGTATGGCAGAGCACAGAAGTAGCACTCTAGATCCAAGGCAGCTTTCGCAGGCTCTTCAAAAGGCAAGTGATGTCCTCCATCCTTGCAATCAGCTGACCCTGGCACAGCCAGGTCTTGGGGCTAAGTTGGAAAGGTGTTTTGAAATATTCTCCAGAGTGATGCAATTCCAATGCAGAATGTCCAATAGTGGACTTTAAGCATCTCTTGAAGAGAGTCCAAGGATGAGGACTCCATGTTGGTCCCCAGGCAGGGTCCTCTACAAGACAGGAAAAAAAGCCAAAAGAGCCAGGTGGGAGTGGAAGAGATATAAAAAGGCTAAGAGAGAGTCATCCTTGAACACAGTCTCCACCTCTTCTGCTGAGGAAGGAGACAGTTCTGATCCAGACCTTAAAAGGACAAAGGTGGGGAGGGGTGAAGAACAGGAAAGGTTTTTGCCGCCAACTCATTTGTTACATTGTGCAAAAATATGGCATCCACTATTAAAATTCAGCCTGATAAGGTGGTATTAGATGACAAATGTTTGCCTTGGACAGCAGTCACCTGTGCCTTCCCTTCAAACAGGTAATCAGATAAGTGAGAATGCCCTGACAAGGGAAAATAGGTACAGACACACACACACTTAAGAAGGTTCTTTGATTTTCCTGCAGGAGACTAGCATCAGTTTGACACCAAATCCAGTTGGTCATGGGAGTGTGTGGACAGACTGTACTTGACACTGGCCTCTCCACACCTGCTGCCAGAGGTTCTGAGGGTTGGCTGGGTTGCCTGCTGCATCTTTGAGTCCATCTGGAGGGAACCACTTCCCAATCCTGTCAACATACATGCCCTGATACAGGTATAGAACAAGTGATTCTACCAGCATCTTCCTTCCTCAGCACATTGGAGGACCACAAGAGAATCATCCTTGGCAGGTACGTGACCACCCTGGAGATGCAGGATCAGATTGGGAAAGAGGTGCTAGCCTGCTACAGCGAGATTGTCAACTATCACTCCCTGGTGGACACCTGCTATGACCAGCAACCTAATGATATGGGCTCCTTCACCATTGTTAGTGGTATGACTAAGCCTTCTCCAACATATCCTGATCCAAGATCCTGTGGGCTCACTTCTCCAATATCTAGGTTCCTCCCTAGGGTTAAGGTCTCAAACCATGGTTAGGGCTGGGGCCAGTACATGGCTCCAGGCTAGGGTTTAGGGCCAGAACTCCAGGAAAAGGTTAGGGTTGGTGATGGTGGGTGGCTCCTAGAGCCAGATTAGGATTTGGGGTGGAAAGCGACTCTGACCTAGTGTTACAGCTCTGATTCATAAGGGACTCTGGGATGAGGATGGTCAGGTTCCTCAGGACAGGATTAGGGTTGGGGCTGGTAAAAGGCCCCAGGCTAGGCCTACAGTGGGGGAGATTGTGGCCCTGAGCTATTGTTACCATTAGTACCAGTAGCCAGCCCTGAGTTATAGTTCAGGTAAGGCTATGGCTGTGCACTTAGGGCTAGGCTTATGGTTTAGGGCTGGTAGGCAGCTACAGGTTAGGGATTGAAACTGGTAGCAGATTATAAGGGGACCTCACCTAGGATTAGTGACAGTAGGTTGCCCCAAGCTAGGGTTATGGTTTGGTCTGGAAGGGGCTCTGGCCTAGGATTAGAGATTGGGAAGATAGGGGAATAGGATAGTGTTAAGGATGGGGATGGAATGCATCCCCAGACAAAGGTTCACTTAGGGCCAGCAGGTGATCACGTTAAGGTTAGCTGGTGGCCCTAGGTTAGAGTTAATTTTGGTCTTGGTAGGAGGCCATGGGCTACAGTTGAGATTAGCTGATGGGAGGCATAACAGTATACTTATGTATATGGGTAATGTCTAGGAATTTAAACAATGGTACTTTCAGGAAGTGAGAGAGGTCTATATATGTGGAGAAAGAAAAAGCATGAATGTTGCCTTGTTTTTTCTCTTCCTTGAGCAGTAAGAACATGGTGTCAGAACAGAAGTGAGCCCTGCAGATACATGAAATAAAAAACTAAGAATATTACAAATCAACCAAAGAAAGGTCATCTTACGAGATCCTGTCCCCAAGAAAATGGAGCACATGGCTGCCCGTGTCCAATAGCATCTGCATATGTCAGCAACAGCTGAAGAAGTTAAGTAAAAATCTTAGCTGTCCTCCCAAAGATTCTAACCCCCCCCCCAGTGTTATATATTATAGTTATCTTTTCAGATAATAAAATCTGGAGAATCAGATGCAAAATAGTTGACTCATGCAATTATTACTCCTGGGGGAATTATGCACTACTGTGCATGCACATAATTAATGAGATGCACATATTTTTAATTTTTTGCACAGAAAAAAGCTTCTGCCAAATGTTGCTGCAGTCTGCCTTTTGCCACCAGAGGGCACCCTGGTGATAGAACACCTTAGTAGCTCCCAGCCAGCTAGCTAAGAGAAAGAGCCCGCCTTCTTCCCAGCACCTGTCAGGTGAGGTCAGGAGCTATGGGGAGACAGTGTGGGGTGCTGGGGGTGGGGGTCAGCTCATAAGGGTAGTGTGGGGAGGACAGAGTGGGGCAGGGGCTGAATGGGAGTGGAGGCACTGGGGGGAGGGAGGTGCAGGGCCACATGATGGGGGAGGGGGTGCAGAGCTACATAGGGACAGGAGAGTGGCTGGGTGGGGGCACAGAAATGGATGGGCAAGGGAGTGCAGAACCACGTTTGGATGGGGAGGATGCCTGAGTGGGGGTGGAGGGACATGGGCAGATGTAGGGTCAACCAGGGTCTGCATGAGGGAAGCTCCCGAACAATCCCCCCCCCCCCCAAAAAAAAACAAAAAACCCTTGTTCCATACTTTTCCCCCAACAACCCTCCAAGGCTCCTTCTCAGCAATTTACTTCCCTCTTCCTCTGCTCTTCCGTTACCCCTGACTCCCCCAAGAAGCCTTTGCACTGTTTCTGAGGAGTGCAGGCAATACAGTTCTGTAGTGTAGTTTAAATGAATTATTACTCAAAGTTCTGTATTAATATGCCTAGTAAGGAATCTATTTGTCAAAAAACATTTTCTGAATCTTTGTCCGTAACAATACAGAGAACAAAATACTTGAAGGTATTTTGAAATAAATGATCAAAAATAATTGAAACTGGTGTGATTATAATGTGTCAGTTTGACAAATAAAATATGCAGAATTTTAAAATGTGTGCAGCTTTTAAAAGATTAACTAATTTGTGATATATTAGCAAGAGGAATGAAAGAGGTGGGAGCTCAAATGAGAATGCTAGAAGAGTCCACACTACTCTACCAAGAGCTACACATATGGGCAAAACTCATGAACAAACTCACATCTAAATGCAGAGAATAAGTGGAACAGATACAGGCATGCACTATGTAACGAAGAAAAAAATACACCAAAACTCATGCAAGACCAAAATGCACAAAGCAGAAGAGATAGAAAAAATTCAAAGGAAGACCTGTGGGTACAGTAGAGAAAAGCTATGGAAAATGCCCCACGTGTGGGGTCATAAGTAATAATTTGGCAAGAGAAATTATACTAAAGCTTGCAGACAACAAAAAAACAAAAAATCCACCATATTGAGGAAGTAAACAGTCACTCAGAGGATGAGATTTTGTATGTATATGATACTTGTGCAGTGCCAAACAACAAAAATTAATGGTTTGTAAAGCTCAGACTAGCACCAGTTGCAAAGAAACGCAAACACACACACACACACAGAAATTGAATGCTAGATTAACAATGGGGAGGCGGTGTTAACAGATTGATAGAGCCAGAAGAGTTCCCAGAAGTTACCTACTACAGGACAGGCCTAACAAAGAAAATAACAGAACGCCACTAGCGGTCACCTTCAGCCCCCAACTAAAACCCCTCCAACGCATTATTAAGGATCTACAACCTATCCTAAAGGATGACCCAACACTCTCACAAGTCTTGGGAGACAGGCCAGTCCTTGCCTACAGACAGCCCCGCAACCTGAAGCAAATACTCACCAACAACCACATACCACACAACAGAACCACTAACCCAGGAACTTATCCTTGCAACAAAGCCCGTTGCCAATTGTGCCCACATATCTATTCAGGGGACACCATCACAGGGCCTAATAACATCAGCCACACTATCAGAGGCTCGTTCACCTGCACATCCACCAATGTGATATATGCCATCATGTGCCAGCAATGCCCCTCTGCCATGTACATTGGTCAAACTGGACAGTCTCTACGTAAAAGAATAAATGGACACAAATCAGATGTCAAGAATTATAACATTCATAAACCAGTCGGAGAACACTTCAATCTCTCTGGTCACGCAATCACAGACATGAAGGTCGCTATCTTAAAACAAAAAAACTTCAAATCCAGACTCCAGCGAGAAACTGCTGAATAGGAATTCATTTGCAAATTGGATACTATTAATTTAGGCTTAAATAGAGACTGGGAGTGGCTAAGTCATTATGCAAGGTAGCCTGTTTCCTCTTGTTTTTTCCCCCCCCCCTCCCCCCGATGTTCTGGTTTAACTTGGATTTAAACTTGGAGAGTGGTCAGTTTAGATGAGCTATTACCAGCAGGAGAGTGAGTTTGTGTGTGTATGGGGGTGGGGGGGATGTGAGAAAACCTGGATCTATGCAGGAAATAGCCCGACTTGATTATGTAAAGAGTTGTCACTTTGGATGGGCTAGCACCAGCAGGAGAGTGAATTTGTGTGGGGGGGTGGAGGGTGAGAAAACCTGGATTTGTGCTGGAAATGGCCCACCTGTTGATCACTTTAGATAAGCTATTACCAGCAGGACAGTGGGGTGGGAGGAGGTATTGTTTCATATTCTCTGTGTGTATATAAAGTCTGCTGCAGTTTCCAAGGTATACATCTGATGAAGTGAGCTGTAGCTCAGGAAAGCTCATGCTCAAATAAATTGGTTAGTCTCTAAGGTGCCACAAGTCCTCCTTTTCTTTTTGCGTAACAAACTCAGTGCCTCTCAGCGCCCAACGAACGGGCGGCTGTAGGGGGAGTGACAGGGACAAGTTCTCCGGCACCAACAGGAGCCCCCAGCAGGGTCACACGGGCCAGCCGGGCTGGAGCTGAGTTCAGTGGGGGGTCCCTGACAAGGTGCGGGGCTGGCCTTCGCCGCTAGGGCTCGCTGTGTGGCCAGGCCCGGGCCGAGCCCAGGGTTCCTGCCCGTCGTAGCAGGCGGGGGCGGCCCCGGCCCCTCTCTGAGGTGGCGTCAAGGTCGGGAGGCTCCGCTAATCAACCCCCTGCACCATTCCCGCCCCCACCGGCGGGGCGCGGCGCCGAGCGGAGAGAGAGGCGGTGCCCGGCGCCCCGTTCCCGCCCCCCAGTTCCGTGCAGCGCCGCCCGCCAGTTCCGCCGGGGACGCGCAGCGTAGGAGGCCGCGGCTCGGGCAGGTGTCGAGGCTCCGGGCAGTTGCACAGGCGGGAATGGCGGCCGGGCCGGGCTGAAAGGAGAGGAGCCGCGTCTCGAGGCCGCCATGAGGCTACTGCGGGCCCTGCTGAGAGGCGCCTCCCTGGCCGGCCTCTTGCAGCAGGTGGATTTCTACGCCCGCTTCTCCCCGTCGCCCCTCTCCATGAAGCAGTTTCTGGACTTCGGTGAGTGCCCGGGGCGCCCGCAGCCTACCCGGGGCGGCAGGACCCTGGCAGGCTGCGCTGACCTGCCCGCCTCCCCGGGGCAGGAGGCGGTACCGCACCACCAACGCCACATGGGCAGAGGAGCCCCTGGCTCTAGCCCAGAGACCGGGCTGCAGCGTGAACACCCCCACCAGTGGGTGGGGGGCTGCCATTGACTTCCGCCTCTGCCCCGGCTTACCTGGGCTCCTCTGGCAGCGCCTTTGGTTCTTCAGCCCCCAGGCAACGGGCACCTCTTCTCCCCTTTGGGGGGGTGGAGGCAGCGGGGTGGGCTCTGCACCCTCTTCCCCTTCTTGGTCCCGCAGAGATGGAGAGAGCGGACTGAACTCATTGCTCAGAGGAGGGGACCGCCCAGTAAGTTGCTGAGCTTCTAGGCTCCGCAACCCTCTTCACCGCCTCCCCAAGTCTGGCTCCCCCCAGGGGGCCTGATTGGCTGCTCTTCCCTCCCAGGAAGCGGGATGGTGGGGCAGGCAGCCAATCAGAGGGGGTTTTCTGGCCAGGCAAGGACTGAAATTCAATAGAGCGCTGCCGCTTGAGGCCTCATCAGGAGGCTGGTTATAGCTGTGGCCAAAGTTGTAGCCTAGTGAATAAATGGCGACAGCTGGCAACAAAGCAAAATATCCAGCAGAGTTTTTTAAACCAGAATTGCAATCTACCACTAGAGAGCGAAGTGCCACACACACAGGCAGCAGGTTTGTATAATTTTTGGTGGTACCCAAGTGGAGCTGTCCTATCCATAGGATGGACCAGGGCAAACACCCTGCTCCAATCTTCCCTGAAGCCCGCCGGCCCTGAGCAACGCCGGGAGCCAGCGAGGTGGAGCAGAGTGGGCTAGGGCCAGGTCACTCGCTGCTGCCAGCACCAGGCCCCCCCCGCTAATCCCCAGGCTGCCTTGACCCCCTGAAGTCCCAGGCAGGGTAGGCACCACCATGTTGTACGAAGAACACTTGACAGAATTATTGGACTTAATACCCCCACCACCCCAATGTCTGTCATTATGTCATTCAATCATTCAACCCATAAAATAGCACACATTTTGCCATACTGAAAACCCCCCCAGTAACCTAGCTAATAAATTCAACTCATATAATTCATGAAAAATGTGTGTACTGTATATGAGATTATATGAAAAATGAAAATGAGCTTGCTTTGGGATTTTACAAGGCAGTTATATCATTTAAACACATTTGGTACCTTGAGTAATGATAACACTTCTTGCAAATCACATAAATAGGGAACCCATGGTCCCCTTCCCTCACCCTAATGCAAAGGCACAGGGGTTATTGCTGGCTGCCCGAAGGCTGCAGAAAAACCTATGGGCAAAACATGTAGAAAGAAGAGGATTGATTTATACAGAAGGTTGAAGGGGACTCCCATAGTGCATTAATTAACACTTAATAAATGTATCAAAATTAAATACATTACAGAGATAAGAACCCGTAATGACAGATTTTACTTCATGAGAAGCTCCAGAGAAAGAAGACCCAGAGGGAGTAATGATAGGGGTAATCCTAGGGAGAGCAAAGGGGCTGGTAGAGGGAGCAGACAGAGAACAAGGGTAGAGGCAGAGTCACTGCAGGGTTGACCCTGTCTTCTGCATCTCCCCTGTGGGTGGACACACTGATCACTATCACTATAGGAGGGAACAATAGAATGGTATGCCCAGAAGAATGAATGACTTGAGAAAAATTTCCTGAAGGGACCCTTACTCTTTCAGAGCTTTTCTAGCTTGGATATTTATATTTCTACACAAGGTGGTTTGGCCCACAGAAATAAAAATCTGCTCATCTTCCATGTGTTTTTGGACTAATGGAAAAAACCAGGTACAATTCAAGTGACTTCTAAAATTGCCTATGAAACCAAGTTAACAAAATAAATGAGCTTATGAACAACCAGAAAATATACTTCTCAAGGGAAAAAACTATAAATGGACTTCTTTGCAAAGAAATTGTAAGTTTTGTTACAGGAAAAGCCACAAACTGTCTGGAAAGGAAGAGTAGATTGAATTACTTGCCTCAGTGAACTTAAATACCCAGAGAATTGCTGGGCCTGTGATGATGATGACTGGGGCTTGCTCACCTGTGGCTCCCCCTCCCCATGCTGTGGAGACACAGGCAGGCAGGTCTGTATCTGCAAGCAGGCACCCTGCCTCAGGTGCAGCTCCCATTGGCCGGGATGGCCAATAGACTGGGAGCCTCCCGGCCAGTGGGCTGTGCGGGAGGCAAAGGGGGAGATTGTTGGGAGCTCTGGAGCAGGGGAGGCAGTGGGGATGGGAGTTGTCTCTTGAGGTACAAAGGGGGGAGACTTTCTGGAGAGGGATGACAGGGCACAGGGGCCGTTGGGGGGGGTCTTTTTTGGGGGGCAGAGAGTTGTTTGGGTCTCTGTGGGTGGGGGAGAGTGATGGACGGAGCCAGCTGCAGCCTGGGTCTGCTCTGCAGGGGCGGGGGTATTGCTATAGCCCCCTCAGGAAGCTCCCTCTGTACTATGTATTTTATGCCAGCCCCCGGGGTGCCCATCGCTGCTTCTTTCTCCCACCCCTGGCTCCATCTGTCTGTCACCACAACACGCTGGCTGTGACTGTCTGACAGTGACAGACTCCAGCTGCTCTCTCTGCCTGCGGGTCCCTCCTCCTCCCTGCTGTGGAGGCATGGCCGGGCAGCTCTGGCGCTGGCTCCTGCAGCTCCCATTAGCTGGGGTTCCCAGCCAATGAGCTGGGTCAGTGCTGGGAACTCTCTGCAGCACGCAGCAACTCTTGGGGTGGGGGGAGCTGCTTGTGGGGATGCGGGGAAGCTGCCCCTGAGGTGAGAGTGCCCCATGTTGCCAACCCATGGCGCGGGACCCCCCAAAGCACGGGGCCTGGGGCCCAAACATTGGTGGAGCTGGGCCCACCTCCATGAATATTGATAGAGCATGGGCACCAAGGGCCCATATAACTCGTCGCCTTTGGCCACACACAAAACAATCTTAGAGGCAGACATTAGAAACCTTATCAAGTCTGGGTATGGAGTCACAATGCAATGGATCCAGTTTCTGTAGGTTCATCTCTTTGATAAATTATATGTGCACATAGACTGAGTTCCCCAGGTAACACACGTGTCCATCAAGCTTCAAAAACACAGGGCTCTATTATTTCAATTAAAGAAGATACCCCTCAGCTGTTCAATGTTAAAGGTCCCTTTATCCATTCAACATTTTTTACATAATTATTCATTTTACAATATGTTATGTAAAGACAAAAGTGTATCCTTTATATATAAAAAGGATATTCTAAATCATAAAAAAATAAAATTATTAAATTAAAAAGATAAATGATATAAAGCATTACATAGTAAAAACTGTAATCATTCTATGTACGCGATATACGAACAGGGATTGTAGTATTGTTCAGTTACTTTTTAAAACAAATATAGGTCCCAAACTACTGTGTCTCCCTTACAATGGGAATTTGCTTTCAAGGCAAATATTTCTCACAGCAAAGCAGTAATTTATGGACATCAGTGCTTAGACATAAGGTCATGGATAACCAGAAAAAATGTTCAAAATATATCAACTTTTTGAGATGCTTAAAAGCTAGAAAACCAGTGGCTGAGGCTAAAAATTTTAGTAGATATGATTTTGTGCTCAGAGGTAGGAGTCTGGCAATAGTACATGATCAGACATTCTCTATGCATTACAGTAAGATTGCTTTTTCAGTCTGGATTTTCTTTGTTTTCTTTTTTAAAGCTGGACCATTCAGACAGACAGAAAACTTGAATATTCTATATCAAATCTACATTAAAAGAATGTAAAGATCACAAAGTCATGTGATGTCATACAGCGTGAATTGATTTAAGTCAAAGCAATTTAAATCACTGATTTTAATCATTGTTTAAATCAGCAAGCAGTAAGCCTTGATTTAAATAATCAGTTTTAATTTTGGTTTTTACTTGTACTTTTTAGTTATTGTCCTAAAGAGATGCTGATTCATATTTTAGTAGCCATTAAAACATGTTGATTTGCAACTAAACAAAGCTTTTGCACTAAATTTGATGCTTCTTTTTGCCAAGCAGTAGATATACTGTATCTATACACATATTTAAGCATTTGTACAGCTTTACATAAAATATGTAGTACCTAAATAAATGTAAGTTATTAGATTTGTTTAATTTTTTACTTGTGATTTATGTCCAGCGCAATTTGGGTGGCAATTCAAATACAATTAAAAATGCACAAAACCAGCATTTTAAAATGTTTATTCTTACTTAAATAAAACTACCTTAAATATGCTGGATACATAAGAAAAAAAGTTTATTAAAACACATTTTGCATTTAAAACTAACTGATTTATTTAATGAAGGAAGTTTATCTGTAGTTAGTGAATTGAATCAATTTTCTGGTGACGATGTCTTTCAAGATTTTAGAACTAGTAGATATCATTTTCTTATAACTAGTTTTTATACATAGATTTGAAGAGGAAAACAAGCTTTCCTTCTTTATCAACTCAAATTTGTTAACTTTGAATTTAGCTAGTCGTTGAACTCAACTAGTTGAACAAATTGAAATGAAGAAAATATTCTCACTGCCCTGCAGAATTGGCTAATGCTGTCAAAAACTGGTTTATCACCTCAACAAACTCTGGTTCCAGATGCTTAGCCCATGGCTTCCATCAGGTCAGTGACTGACTCTTTAAAACTTCAGCAGCAAATATCTACTAATTTTAAATAGTTTAACTTAAAAAATAAATCTAATTTAAATTAAAAGATTATTTTAATTTTTTTAAAAAAATCATTGATTTATCCTGATATCATAGTTAAGGTACTACAAATAACCTTAACTCTGTATCCTGCTGCAGGTGTCATGTCAGTCTTTGATTACATGATCACAATATTGTTTCTCTGCAGCAATTCTGACCATTCCACGCCCAAGTTAGACTGCACAGGATATGAGGCAGCTGTTCGATTTTTGAATCCTCACTGTTCAATTAACGGATACACTCACCCAGTGCATGTTGTCCTCCAAATTTATGACACAGTAATGGCAAAATTTGGCCCCAATTATTACACTGATTTATAGAACTTTTGTCTCACTCACTGTGTAGCCCTGCCTCATTCCCTTGCACCATCCAACTTGAAGATTGATGAAAGAAGCCCTATGGAACAAATAGCATGTCAGTTTGATATTAAAGGTTGATGTCAATGGGACTATTCACAGTGCATAAAGTTAAGCACATGCATAAGTTTCACAGGATTGGGGTCTTAGTTTCTTGTGTAAATTACAGATACATTGGGTCTCTTAAATCTTAATGCTGATGTTTTCACTGTCTTGGAAGGTGCATATTGTGGAAGAATAGATCTATTTAATGGGGAGCCGTTATGGTTTAGGCATTTATTCAGGAATTCACTGTTCATAGGTGCACAACTGCACTTGCTTGACACCCCATTTCAATCACAAACTGGGTTCCCTGTGGTATGCCTGTATGCAGTGAATTTCAGAATCAGGGTTTTATGTGCTGAGGCTTTTGATGGACTGTTACATTGATAAAGTAACTGTCACTTTAGAGCCGTCTTGGTTCATCTACATACTGCCTTTGGGTTAGTGAAAATCTAGTAATCTCTCTTGTGATAAACTTGCTAAGTATGACAAGGAACTCATTTTACATGAAAGTGACTATTCCATCCTACAGAATGAAGTGTTCTCAAAATTAATTTAAAAATACCAGGGGTGTGAACTAAAAGTATTGTTACTCTGCACATGAGAAAAGAAGAGTTCCAGTTTTCAGTATTCTTGTAAGTAAAAGATTAATAATTAAAAAAAAAAAGACATTAGTTTGGTTCTCATGAAAGACCAGTTGGCAGTCCAGGAGACTGAAGTCCTGGAATCAAAAATATTAGAGTTGGAAAAGTTTTATTTGATGATCGAAGTCTATCCCCCTACCAGTGCAGGATTGCTCCCTATAGTACATTTTCTAGTTGAGGTTAAAAGTCTTATTTAGCCACATAAGTAAGCTGCCCCATGTTTGTATTGCCAATGTGCTTCAACCCTCATTTTAAAGGACCACCAGTAGGGTGGGAGCGAAGGATTTCTCACCCTCCGTTCCCACCCCCATGTTTTAGAGCCATGATCTCAGCTAAGGCTAACAACAGTGCCATTTAATGTCACCTATGAAAGATGTGAGTTGATTCAAGAAAATTCTCGTTGACTAATATTTTGTTGTGTTTTCATCCAAGAGCAAGTTTTTATGCCTAAATAAAGTTTGACTGCATGTTTTTCATGGATTGGATCCCTTGACAGGTCCATTAAACAGTACCTCTAACTTGTAGTTGGTTGGTTGTTTTTTTAAGGTATGGTCTGAAAAGGAATTGGTCATTTTAGAGCTCTGAGTCGCTCTCCAGTTTCGAGGAACATTCTACATTTGAGCTGAATCCAGCTATCTGTTCCACCACATACCAAGACAGGCATTGTGTCAAAAATGTTGGAGACAATGTGGCCCATTCACATACCCTTTAGCTTAGGGAAAGGTGCATAGATCTAGAAGATAGGCGATAAAGAGTTCTGGTCTTACCTTGAGTTATCACCCTTTGTTTCTGGACATTTTATAGACCTTATTGCTGACAATGGTGTCAGGTCTCTACCATAGTAAGTATCATCTAGTACAGTGGTTCTTAACCTTTACTGCAGCCTGCATCCCTTTGGTTCTCAAAATATGTTCTTGCACCCCTTATCAAAAATTGTTGAAGTAGGTCAGTTCGTTAAACCTAGATATATCATAACTATAGAATGAAAGAGAGAATTATATATTTATTTTAATTTCACAGTAAAATTAAGAATACATGAAAAATTACACACCTTTTTTAAGTTTACTGGCTCAGTGACTCGTCTGCTGTTGCTTTTGTTCAATGATGTTCGAGAAACAAGGAACTTTTTTTGAAATAGCCACACGCATGTCCTCACTCGCATTTAGGCGGTTTCTGGCCTTTGTTTTGATGTGTAAGAGTGATGAAAATCCTCTCTCACACAAGTATGTAGTCGCAAATGGCACAAGGATCTCCAGCACTGTCTTCATCAGTTGTGGAAAAGGTGCTAGTTGAGCACACCAGAAATTCCCAAGCTTCATTTCGCAAACTCCATTCGGATTTAGCCATTGGCTCGTAATTCAATGAGATCTTTCATCAAATCACTATTGTTGATGGAATCCAGGTTAAAAAGAAATGGATCCAGTATCCATTTATTTGCCACATCAAGATCTCCAGTGGAAAAATATCCTTGGAAAGAGTTACTCAACTGTTGCAAATGCTTTGTCACTTCAGTTGCGATGGTCATTCCTTCATTTTCCTATTGTATGAGGCTTCTTTTTCTTGGCACACAAATATGCAACTTGATAGGATGGTTGTAACAAGGGCTTCTCAAGTGACACAAACCCAAACATCCTCAAGGTTCCGCGAGAATCAAATCGTGCCCTTGTAGACTTCAGGGTGTCAGTGTCATGTCCAGCAGCTGCACCACCATGCTGTTTGTTGAAATGTTCAGACAGCATCGATGGTTTGAGATTGGCTTTTGAAAATAATGAGCTGCATAGTACACATTGTGGTCATTGATTTCTCTCCTCCTCTGTCGTACAAGTGAACCCATAATGAAAACAGTCGTCATTCCATTTGCGTTTCTTTGACATGGCAAGAGTTACTGAAAAGGGTTTCATTTTCTATATGAAAAAATATATAAGTGGAGATGGGGGGGTCTATACACTTTTAAATGCATATTAAATATATGTAAAATAGTTTTGTTATTACTTACCACAAATAATAGTACAGTAGGCACACAAAAATACGCAAGTACTACCCAGAGATGTTGCAGAGTTTTGCTGTGGAAGTAAACTGTAACCAACACGCTAAAAGTTAGCGACTAACTGAATTCAAACAAAGCCGCGGTGCTGCCACATCATCATCTGCGCAGACATCAAGAAATACCCAGCAACATGGCAGTACACTGTATTTTGTAGTGAGATAATTTCATTGCAATGTATATTACAGTAATCATTAAAAATGTATAATGTTAATAAATACATAGTTTTGATGAAACAAAGTAGATGTACTTATGTGCCTGTACTTAATTTGTGTTTTCGATGATTTACCTTCTAAAAAAATCTGGCATGTCTTGCACCCCCAAAAAGGGCATCTCGCACCCCCAGAGGGTGCATGTGCTCCAGGTTAAGAACCACTGATCTAGCCCATCCTCCCTTTCTGAGGCAAAACAACAAAAGAGATAATTTTTTATGAATGGGGCCTGTATTGGGGATGTGAAGGTCCAGGGTTCAGATCCTGTTGATTCAGGTTGTTTTATGGTTGCATGTGATGACACCCTCCCCCTCCCCCAGTGCCACAATACTCTTTGTAAGCAACTGGCTTATTTAATTCATGGTGAAAAATATCTTTTAAAACATACTTGTTCCTAAGTGACAAAGTAACTAGTATCTACCAATTTTTGTTTTAAGGTGAAATAATGCAGTTCTACAAAGGGTCACATCCAAGTTATCCCTATGTTCAAACCTGATCTAATTTAACCTCAGAGCCAGACACAAAAATGTGCAGGAAAATAGTGATCTATATATAGCTATATAAAGATGTTCCACAAATGTTAACTGTATTCTGATTTTTCCAAATATATTTTGGTTTTAGGATCTGAAAATGCTTGTGAAAAGACTTCGTTCATGTTTTTGAGACAAGAGTTGCCTGTAAGATTGGCAAACATAATGAAAGAAATAAGTCTGCTTCCAGACAACCTGCTAAAGACACCTTCAGTTCAGCTGGTGCAGAGCTGGTAAGAACTGTCTTGTATTTCTTATCTTACCTTTAAGGGTTATTGTTGTGCAAGTATACTAAGAAACACTAAGAAACTAAGCAACTGCGTGAGAAACTCTTCAGATACATGTTTGTTATATGGTAACATTAAACAATTTCTTCTGAATGTGATTGTTACTATCTAAAATTCTATTTGAGAGAGTGTTGAGTATTTTACTTCTAGCTGATCATCATGTTTTTACTCCTTGCTTTTCTTTCAAGAAGAAACAGACTAGTCAGTTTCACTTCTGTTTATAGTTCATATTCAGTCAACCTCATTCATCCTTCTAGGTTAAAGACATTGATCTAGTCTGACCTCCATAACCCATAGAATCTCAACCATTAGTTTCTGCATCAAGCCCATAACTTTTGTTTTATTATAGCATATCTTTTAGAAAGATTTCTAGTCTTGATTTAAAGATTTCAAGTGATGATGAATTCCATCATATCCCTAGATAAATTATTCCAATGGTTAATTGTCCTGAGGGTTAAATTTGTACCTTATTTCTAGTCTGAATCTGTCTAGATTCGGCTTTCAGCCATTGGCTATTATGCCTTTTTCTGATAGATTAAAAAGCTGTCAGCCATTAGAAATCTCTTCATTTAAGTACTTATAAACTGATCAAGTCACCTCTTAACTTTCCTTTGGAAAATAAGTAGATGAAGCTTCTAACGTCTGACTAGGGGCATGTTTTCCAAACCTGAAGTCATTCTTTTAGCTCTTTCTAAACCTGTTCCAATTTTTCAACATCCTTTTTGAAGTGTTGATACCAGAAGTGGTTCAGTAATAGTCTCACTAATGCTGTATGGAGCGAGATCACCTCCTCACTCCTGCTTGATGTTCCTTTGTTTATACAGGGAGTCCTCGGACTTACGACACAATTTGTTCCTCAGAATTGTGTTATAAATCGAAATGTTGTAAGTTGAAACTGCTTTTCCCATAGGAATCAATGGTATGAAGGGGAGATTGGTTCCTGAACCAAGGGTTGATACACTATTTTCACCACAATAATCCAGATTTTTGTACTAAATGAATTATAGATGACTAATGTTGCAACATCAACGTATTTACCGTACACTGCATTTTGTAAACAGCATCCAAATAAATATATAAACTTACTTATCCTGTTTAGGAGTACTTGTGACACCTTAGAGACTATCAAATTTATTTGAGCATAAGCTTTCGTGAGCTACAGCAATTTCAAGCAAACTGTATGCAAATTGAGTGACAAGGGTGAAACAAGCGTTGTAGGGGCGAAACAGGCAGTCAATTGAAAAGCGTCGTAAGTCCGAGGAGTCCTTTTATATCCAGCGATTGTATTACCCCTCTTAGCTACAGCATCACACACAAGGCTTGTCTACACTCCCCTATAGTTTGGAGTGCAAGGGTATGAATAGCAGTGCGCATCAAAGTGCTGCTCTCTAACTCCCCGGTCTGGATACTGCGTGTTCAAACTAAAAGGTTCCTGTTAATGTGAACTAGGAGCCTTTTGGTTTGTGCTCAGTGTCCACATGAGAGAATTCCAGAGCAGCACTTTGGTGCACACTGCTATTCACACCCCCATAGTCTGAATTGCGAGACAGTGTAGACATGGACTAAGATTTCATGTTCAGTTGATTATCTACTATTACTCCAAATTCCTTTTCACTGCCTCTGCATTCCAGGATACAGTTCCCCTTTTGTAAGTGTGATCTACATTCTTTGTTCCTAGATGTGAGTTTGCATTTGGATGTATTAAAATGCACGTGTTCAAATGAGCCTGCCTTACCAAGCAATCCAGACCTGAATAACTGTATAACTGGTCTGCCCCCCTCAATTTTCTACTGGGCCAATGTGTCATCTGCAAATTTTACCAGCCATGATTCATCAATAATCCAAAAAAAATATTTAGTAGCTTTAAGCCAAGAACAGATCCCTGTGGAACAACATTAGAAACACCTCCACTGGCATCTTACTTAGTTATTTTGTGATCTGTTAACTAGTTTATAATCCACTTGATATGGACTACATTGACTTTGTGTAGTAGTTATTTCATAAGAATGTCATGTAGGGTTCAGAGAAATGCCTTACAGAAGTCTAAATATATTATGTCAGTTACCTTTATCATTTTGGGTGAGATTAGCTAAAGTTTGAAGAGACCTGTTTTCCATGAAACAATGCTGAGTGGCATTGATTATGCCACAGTCCTTTAATTCTTTGATCCAATGCAATAATTATGGAGAAGCTGATGAGAGATTCAGTTTCCTAACTGCCAATTTGTACTCATGGCTGTCACCTTCCTATTTGTTATAATATTTTTAACAGCTACTTTCATTTCCTCTCTTAACCAGGATGGTTTTAACCTAAAAAGCCTTTGATTATGGAATTATATTTTTGGGGCAACTAGAAGCATTCTTAAACAATTCACAATTAACAATAAACAACTCACATTTTGAGGTTTCAGTTTTCCTACCACTCGTTTTGCTTGCCATTGTGTAACTTCGGGAATTGGCCTTTTTAAAGCATTAAAGCATACTGGTTGGGACTATTCTATTTGCACATAAATGGCATTCAGTCATGATCATTTGCATCAAAGCAACAGTCAGTTTATCTTTATCCATCAGAATGAGGTCCCATATAGAATTACCCCAGATTGTTTGCAATACTTGTAGAAAGTTGTCAACTATAATTTAATTATAATTAAAGTTATCATCCAAATATGTTATACCAGTGGCAGCATGAGACCTCTGACTTATGTCTCCAATATTGAAGTTCCCCATCATAATGCAATTTTTCTTTCTATACATTATAAGTAGAAATTGAAGGAGCTGCTGATTCTGTTCCTTCAGCTGATTTTGGGATCTATAATGGACTTCCACCTAGTAACTCCATCTTGTAATTATCAGTTAGAATGTTAATTCATAATCATTCCAGATCCTGTTCTTCTGAATTATCAATATTTATTTAGGGTTCTACCTGCCTCCCCTTCTGTTGACTCTCTTTCCTAAATAGTGTATCCAGTGATTTTAACATTCCACTTATGTGACTCACCCTATCAGGTTTCATATTTCTGATAGTAAATGAGCATTTCTAGTTCTTCTTGAGTCCCAGCCTTCTAGCATTGGTATATGGGAGAATATATTTGATTGCCTTATGCCCCTTGATTCTTTACATGCGTGCTAGCTAGAGTCTCAATTATATGCAAGTGTTTATCCCCTTGGATGCACCCTCCCAACTATTCTAGCTAGTCTGTTCCCCCCAGAAGATTGGTTCTCCTTCTTCTGAGATGGAGGCAGTCCAAGCCCTACATCTTTCTGTTTCCATAGAAGGTGATCCAGTGTTCCACAAAGCCTCTGTTTTGCACCACTTACCTAGCTTTACACTTTACACAGTTTACCTACAGTATCTTCTGTTGTCTCTCTTCTCTCACCCATAGGACAAAGAAGATCTAAGATCCTTACCTTCCTCTCCATTTTAAGATCTTGGAGCCTTCAATGATCTGCAAAATGTATCTAATTAAATATTCATGGTAAATAGGCCCAATGGCCTGATATGGGATATTAGATGGGGTGGGATCCGAGTTACCCAGGAAAGAATTTTCTGTAGTATCTGGCTGATGAATCTTGCCCATATGCTCAGGGTTTAGCTGATGGCCATATTTGGGGTTGGGAAGGAATTTTCCTCCAGGGCAGATTGGAAGAGGCCCTGGAGGTTTTTCGCCTTCCTCTGTAGCATGGGGCACGGGTCACTTGCTGGAGGATTCTCTGCTCCTTGAAGTCTTTAAACTACGATTTGAGGACTTCAGTAGCACAGATATAGGTGTGAGGTTTTGCAGGAGTGGTGAGTGAAATTCTGTGGCCTGCGTTGTGCAGGAGGTTAGACTAGATGATCATAATGGTCCCTTCTGACCTAAATATCTATGAATCTATTTCTATTGGATAAGTCATGGAAATATTGGATTTATGTTTTGTAAAATCTGATTTTAACAAATATAAATGTTGGCCCAAACTGATAGTGACATCCCTATTAGTAGTAGGTTTTTCAAGACATTTTCTAGAGAGTAACCATTACTATACTGAACAATCATGTACTAGCAGTGAGATTAAATACGTGGTCCAGTACTGAAGATATTTCCATTTTTATGTTTGTTATTCGTACCTTGTTTTATGAATTTAATATAGGACTACTTTTCTTTTGGCAGTAATGTTTTTGTTTTTACTGATTAAGAGCTTTAAGAGATTAGCTCATTTTCCTCCATATAGCACTTAAAATAAATCACAGCATTAGCCATATCAAATATGTAAGTGTGGCAGCGGTTTACTTAGTTTGACTTTGGGCTCACCCACTGCCTCTGTTTGCCTGTTTAGGATTCCATTCCCAAACCACAAATAGGCTCTCATGTTGCAAACATGTCCCTTTGTGGGTTCTGATGTATTAAAACAACATCACAGTTCAATGTCAACTTAAATCAAAACCAGTCTTTCCTTAGCCCGACAGTTCCTTCAACCCTTGTCTTTCCCTTAGGGTGGCATAGAAAGTCCTTTCCCAGGTATTCTCTAATCGTAGCTCTGTTACATGAGCCTTCCTGTATTCTGGAGATCTCTCCTTCTCTAACTGAGCAGACTCCCTCTTTTAGGAAGTACCATTGCTGATCTGAGGATCAGGTGGCTTCCTGATGATCACCTCGTAAGCCAGTCTAGACCTGGCACAGGTCAGGATGAGCCCCATCCTCTTTAAAGGGCTAATGCACCATGTGGCAGTAAGCATGTTACTGTGTGTGTACTGGTTTGGGTGGGTGGAGGAGTATGCCTTCAGTGTGTGGGTGTGTGTTTAGAATCTATCCTCTACACAACCCCACTTACTTCTCTGCACAAAGATGATTTATTGGATTTTGAGGGGCAGGTCTAATTTTGCACTTTAAAACATCATCTGAAGAATTTGACTTTAAGATCAGCCCTGCAGGAAAAAAATCATCATAATTTTCATCATTTTAAATGTAGCTATACTGAACATTACTCACTTAAAAACCTGCCGAAGCGTCAGGAACTCCTGGGGGAATCCTGTAGCAAAAAATAAAAATTTGTTGCCAAAAATTTAAGAATTCTTTGCACAATATTTTAAAATTCTGCAAAATTCTGCATATTTTATTTGTCAAAATAACACAATATAATCACACCAGTTTCAATTATTTTGGTAATTTATTTCAAAATACCTATCAACAAGTATGTCTGTAACAATACAGACAAAAAAAAAGATTCAGGAAATGTTTTGGACATATAGATTCCCTACTAGACATATTAATACATAATTTTGAGTAATAATTCATTTAAACTACAACAAAGAAACGTATTTTCCACACCCTCAGAAGCAGTGCAGAGGCTTTGGGGAGTCAGGGGTAATGGAGGAGCTGAGGGAGAGTAATTGCTGAGAACGTGGCTGGGAGTGAATGTGGAGGGCTGTTGAGAGTGGTTGGGAGAAGTATGGAAGAGGGGGGTTGGGTGTGGAGGAGGGATTGTTAAGGAGTTAGGGAGCCTGGCTGACCCCCTAGCCTCTCCCATTCAGTCAAGCACATCTGCCCATGTCTCCATGTGGCCCTGCACCCCCTGCCCTCATCCTCATGTGTCCCTCACCCCACTCAGCAACCCCCTACCCCTGTCCCAATGTGGCCCTGCATCCCCCTGCCCTCTGATGGCCCTGCATCCCACTCCCCCCTGCCCCAGTCTGTCCCGCAACTAGCCCTTCTGAACCCCAGTCTATGAAACCCCAGCAGCCCTATGGGCCCCACTCTGTCCATCCTCCATATCCCATCTCCCCTCACCTGACCCCACAGGCATATCACTGTGAGAAAAGCAGCCTCTGCTCTCTCCCTATTGCTCTTAGCTGCTACGGTGAGATGGCTGCCCTCTGTTTTGCTGCCACATCAGACCCTGGTGGGTGAAAGGTGTAACTGCAGCCCCTCTCCAACAGAATGTATTTTCTGTGGAGAAAAAAAATCTGCAGGGGACATGAATTCTTCACATGTGCAGTGGTGCAGAATTCATTCAGGAGTAATCAGGTAGAACTTAGAATGAATTTAATGAGTGTTAAATTAATGTGAAAGTGAAAAATTGACAGAGCAGCTGCTCATATAATAAAATACAAATGTGTCAATTAAGCAGTCACATTATTGAGAGGCTTACGGGAATGCATTTTATTGGGAAAGTCACTTATTTCATGAATTTATTTAAAAAAGCACAACAGGAAAAAACATTTTAATGTATATTATAGGAAAACTGACTTGTTTATGAGTTATCACAGCCTTGAGAAGCAGTCTGAAACTTGTGTGCGTACAACCCTGCACCTAAAGGGTGTTTTAAATTGGCCAGATAAATAGAACACTATGTTTAATCTGTTACAACCTGTTCATTGTAAAAATTCAAACTTGGCATACAAGTAGTTCTCAAAAAAGCTGTCAAAATGGAGTGCAAGAAAAATATGACTAGCTTCAAGTGTGAAAAACATTTTAAAATGATTTTACTGAGTTTTAATGATTTTTTTTTTATCCATTTGAATGATTTAAAATTTGTAACAAACTAAAAAAAAAAAAAACACTTTTGGCAGGAGAACAAGCCAAGGTATTTTCAGCATACAAGATATTATTTTGAAAGTTGAAAGTGCCTGAAAGTAGGGGCTAGTAATGAAAATGCCTCTTTAACCATAACTATAACATGACTGTTGTGGGTCTGTGCTATTGTTCATGATTACAAGCTAACAAATGTTAAAAGAAAATTGTTAGTGTCTTCACAAAATAGAAGATCTGTATGGAATAGCATGACAAAAATCTACCATACAGGATTTATGTTTTAGGTATGTTCAGAGTCTTCAGGAAATCCTTGACTTTAAGGACAAAAGTGCAGAAGATTCAGAAGTTATTCATAGGTAAGTGTGTTTTTAAAATACTTTAAAATATGTATATTTATAAACAATGGCAATTGATGGTTCAGATGAAGAAAATCTCTAAGGGTATGTCTACACAGCAACTAGACACCTGCGTCTGGCCCAAGCCAACCGATTTGGGTTCGCAGGACTTGGGCTGTGTAGACTTCCAGGCTCACTTTGGAGTCTGAGTTCAGAGACCCTCCCACTTTGCAGGGTCCTAAAGCCTGGGCTCCAGCCCGAGCCTGGAAGTCTACACAGCAGTGAAACAGCCCCACAGCCCGAGCTCTGCGAACCTGAGTCAACTGGCAAGGGCCAGCTGTGGGTGTCTAGTTGCTGTGTAGACATATCTTAAGGGCCTTGACCTTTTAGTAATGGATCATAATGCTAATATGACCCACAGTTTTTCACTAAATCAAGAAAAATGTTTTGTTTTTGATTTACCAAAAGTATAATTCTGGTCCCCAAAACTCAGTTTCTGTGAAATTGTAGAAATTGAGAGTGAGTAAAATGGTGTGGTTTAGATAATGGCACATGCAACCTTTTACTTTTAGTTCAGTTCAGGTCACCAGTATCTGAAGGTAGTTGCCATTTGACAGCCACATGGTGATCTCTGCAAACATTGTTGGTCTCACTTCAGTTCTTACTGAAAAATATCTATCTATAAACTCCCCTATTATATATGGCACCCTTATTGGTAATTTCAGTTTAAATGAGGCTGAAAAGTGACTATCTTTTTCTGCTAGGGTGGTTCTATGCTATATGAGTAAATAGTGGGCTTCACTTTCCTTTGCTGACAGGAATTTAGTGAGTGTTAAATTCACCTGAAAGTGAAAAATTGACAGTTCATTAATGTTAGGTTTACAGATACTGTGATAACAATCCGGAACCGACACAATGATGTAATTCCTACAATGGCTCAAGGTGTGATTGAGTACAAGGAAAGCTTTGGTGTTGATCCAGTGACCTGTCAGAATGTGCAGTATTTTTTAGATCGTTTCTACATGAGTCGCATTTCAATCAGAATGCTCCTCAATCAACACTGTAAGTACTACTGTTACAGGGGAAAATTCATGAATGGAATGTGTTGGTATATCTTATGTTTATCTTTAGGTATTGATTATTTACTTGAACATGCTGCTTACAGCATCATCTTGATCCATTTGGAAATACCTGTGTATGCCGATAAAGCATTTTTTTGTCATCAGCAAAGCAAATGAACCATTTTTCTTTAAGAATGCCACAGCCAGAAATTATAAACTATGCTTATTCTGTTCCATTCAGCAATGCTGAAGACATGAAAATTGTGAAATTTTATTGCCTATTAAACATTATTTTCTTTGTTGGCAGCTTTGCTGTTTGGTGGAAAAATTAAAGTTAATCCAGCTCATCCAAAACACATTGGAAGCATTAATCCTAACTGCAATATTGTTGAAGTTATTAAAGGTAAATTCAGGCAGACCAGCTGAACAAGAATTTTGAAAAGGTACATTAAAATCTATAGAGAACTAATATAAATTAGGTTCTTCTTATATCGTACTAATATCATTTTTATGTAGAGCAGAAAACTCCAGTTCAAATTTAATATGATTTTGTAGTTAAACCAAAGGTCCACAATAAGAGTGCAGAATAGTTTTGGTTTTTAGTTGATGTTCTTTTCAATAAACTACAAAACATCTGAAAAAAGGAGGGAAATGTATTTTTTGTATTTACATTTTTCTGTTTTGATTTCCTGTAGATGGCTATGAAAATGCTAAGAGACTTTGTGATTTGTATTACATGAGCTCTCCAGAACTTGTGCTTGAAGAGTTGAATGGTAAGTGTGTGTGGAAATTGGGGATCCTCTTCTTTCAAATGAGGAGCATCAGGCTGAGCAGAAGGTTTTATGATAGTTTTCCACTGTTGATCTAACACAGTGTCTAAGGGGTCTGCGAAAGGTTGTTGTTACCATAGAACAGTGGTTTTCAACCTGGGGTCAGTGAACCACATCTAAGATTTCCACTCCATTTGGACCTCCATTTGCAATTTTTTAGGGTTCTGCAAATGGAAAAGGTTGAAAGCCACTGGTCTAACAACTTTTAACAGCCCTGTTTCCCCTTCCCCAAGATCTTTTGTATCTTTTGTGTGCCCATGTAAACAAGTATTTGCACCACCAATTGTGACAAAACAGCTTTTGAAAATTTGACTACAAGCATTCATACACAGATGCAGCAGAATTCTTATTTTTTAAAACTAATTGGGAATTGGAGTTCATAAATCAAAAAAATTAATGAAATTGAACACCTCAAAATTACAGTGGGAACAGTGCATTAATTGAAATATGGTGCACAGGATCACATTTTTTAGTCCTTCAGACCGCTGCAAAGCAATTTCCAATGCAATAAATGCATTCAAACGCAAAGGAATGTTGACTTGTTTTTTATCAATATCATTTTTGTTACATGACTTTGGTTTTTTTCACCATTGGGAAAAATGGTTCGTATAAAAGGTCATCTGTAAGATTGGCATTTGTAAAATTGAGGTTCTAGTGTACAGAAACATGCACATGTATGCGTATATTAAAGTCACTTGAGCTCATCCAAAATACAGTGGTAGCATTGATCCAAACAGCAATGTTTTTGAAGTTATTAAAAGTAAATTCAGGCAGATCTGCTAACAAGAATTTGGAGTGATCTAAATTGCATCTACAAATAATTGCATGACCAAAAATACACCCCCTATTTATGCCTGCAAAAATGAGGGCACACGAAGGAAAGCCTGATTAAGGTTGGACTAAAAGTGAGGCCTTAATTATATTTTATAAGCACTTACCAGTTTTATTCTTTTGACTTTGGTAAGTTTACCATTCCGTGTCAAGGTAAAATATGTTCTCCTCCATACTCCTAGCCTGAGGGTTGGAAATATTTGTAGAGAAAAGCACGTTAAATTGCTACAGGTGCCTCTAAGAAACTTTGATTGTATTACTAAGTATGATAAATCACACTAGTTTACAGTGTAGTTACAGTTTGGATATACAATCTAAGCCCTGGTCTACACTAGGACTTTAGGTCGAATTTAGCAGCGTTAAATCGATTTAAACCTGCACCCGTCCACACAATGAAGCCCTTTATTTCGACTTAAAGGGCTCTTAAAATCGATTTCCTTACTCCACCCCTGACAAGTGGATTAGCGCTTAAATCGACGTTGCCGGCTCGAATGGAGTACTGTGGACACAATTTGATGGTATTGGCCTCCGGGAGCTATCCCAGAGTGCTCCATTCTGACCGCTCTGGACAGCGCTCTCAACTCAGATGCACTGGCCAGGTAGACAGGAAAAGAACCGCGAACTTTTGAATCTCATTTCCTGTTTGGCCAGCGTGGCAAGCTGCAGGTGACCATGCAGAGCTCATCAGCAGAGGTGACCATGATGGAGTCCCAGAATCGCAAAAGAGCTCCAGCATGGACCGAACGGGAGGTACGGGATCTGATCGCTGTTTGGGGAGAGGAATCCGTGCTATCAGAACTCCGTTCCAGTTTTCGAAATGCCAAAACCTTTCTGAAAATCTCCCAGGGCATGAAGGACAGAGGCCATAACAGGGACCCGAAGCAGTGCCGCGTGAAACTGAAGGAGCTGAGGCAAGCCTACCAGAAAACCAGAGAGGCGAACAGCCGCTCTGGGTCAGAGCCCCAAACATGCCGCTTCTATGATGAGCTGCATGCCATTTTAGGGGGTTCAGCCACCACTACCCCAGCCGTGTTGTTTGACTCCTTCAATGGAGATGGAGGCAATACGGAAGTAGGTTTTGGGGACGAAGAAGATAGCTCACAGCAAGCAAGCGGAGAAACCGGTTTTCCTGACAGCCAGGAACTGTTTCTCACCGTAGACCTGGAGCCAGTACCCCCCGAACCCACCCAAGGCTGCCTCCTGGACTCAGCAGGCGGAGAAGGGACCTCTGGTGAGTGTACCTTTTAAAATGCTATACATGGTTTAAAAGCAAGCATGTGAAAGGATTACTTTGCCCTGGCATTTGCGGTTCTGCCTTTGCAAAAGGTTTCTGGGGAGGGCAGCCTTATTTCGTCCTTCATGGTAGGACACTTTACCACTCCAGGCCAGTAACACGTACTCGGGAATCACTGTAGAACAAAGCATTGCAGTGTATGTTTGCTGGCATTCAACCAAAATCCGTTCACGCAGTGGGAGGAGGCAAAATGCGACCTTGTAACGAAAGCACATGTGCTATGTATGTAATGTTAACAGCAAGGTTTACCCTGAAAGAGTGTAGCGACTGTTTTATAAAATGTGTCTTTTTAAATACCGCTGTCCCTTTTTTTTTCTCCACCAGCTGCATGTGTTTCAATGATCACAGGATCTTCTCCTTCCCAGAGGCTAGTGAAGCTTAGAAAGAAAAAAAAACGCACTCGCGATGAAATGTTCTCCGAGCTCATGCTGTCCTCCCACACTGACAGAGCACAGACGAATGCGTGGAGGCAAATAATGTCAGAGTGCAGGAAAGCACAAAATGACCGGGAGGAGAGGTGGAGGGCTGAAGAGAGTAAGTGGCGGGCTGAAGACAGGGCTGAAGCTCAAAGGTGGCGGCAGCGTGATGAGAGGAGGCAGGATTCAATGCTGAGGCTGCTGCAGGACCAAACCAGTATGCTCCAGTGTATGGTTGAGCTGCAGCAAAGGCAGCTGGAGCACAGACTGCCACTGTAGCCCCTCTGTAACCAACCGCCCTCCTCCCCAAGTTCCATAGCCTCCACACCCAGACGCCCAAGAACGCGGTGGGGGGGCCTCCGGCCAACCAGCCACTCCACCACAGAGGATTGCCCAAAAAAAAAGAAGGCTGTCATTCAATAAATTTTAAAGTTGTAAACTTTTAAAGTGCTGTGCTTAAAGTGCTGTATGGCATTTTCCTTCCCTCCTCCACCACCCCTCCTGGGATACCTTGGTAGTCATCCCCCTATTTGTGTGATGAATGAATAACGAATGCATGACTGTGAAGCAGCAATGACTTTATTGGCTCTGCAAGCAATGATTAAAGGGAGGAGGGGAGGGTGGTTAGCTTACAGGGAAGTAGAGTGAACCAAGGGGCGGGGGGGTTCATCAAGGAGAAACAAACAGAACTTTCACACCGTAGCCTGGCCAGTCATGAAACTAGTTTTCAAAGCTTCTCTGATGCGTACCGCACCCTCCTGTGCTCTTCTAACCGCCCTGGTGTCTGGCTGCGCGTAACCAGCAGCCAGGCGATTTGCCTCAACCTCCCACCCCGCCATAAACGTCTCCCCCTTACTCTCACAGATATTGTGGAGCACACAGCAAGCAGTAATAACAGTGGGAATATTGGTTTCGCTGAGGTCTAAGCGAGTCAGTAAACTGCGCCAGCGCGCCTTTAAACGTCCAAATGCACATTCTACCACCATTCTGCACTTGCTCAGCCTGTAGTTGAACAGCTCCTGACCACTGTCCAGGCTGCCTGTGTATGGCTTCATGAGCCATGGCATTAAGGGGTAGGCTGGGTCCCCAAGGATACATATAGGCATTTCAACATCCCCAACAGTTATTTTCTGGTCTGGGAATAAAGTCCCTTCCTGCAGCTTTTGAAACAGACCAGAGTTCCTGAAGATGCGAGCGTCATGCACCTTTCCCGGCCATCCCACGTTGATGTTGGTGAAACGTCCCTTGTGATCCACCAGAGCTTGCAGCACTATCGAAAAGTACCCCTTGCGGTTTATGTACTCGGCGGCTTGGTGCTCTGGTGCCAAGATAGGGATATGGGTTCCGTCTATAGCCCCACCACAGTTAGGGAATCCCATTGCAGCAAAGCCATCCACTATGACCTGCACATTTCCCAGGGTCACTACCCTTGATATCAGCAGATCTTTATTGCGTGGGCTACTTGCATCACAGCAGCCCCCACAGTAGATTTGCCCACTCCAAATTGATTCCCAACTGACCGGTAGCTGTCTGGCGTTGCAAGCTTCCACAGGGCTATCGCCACTCACTTCTCAACTGTGAGGGCTGCTCTCATCTTGGTATTCATGCGCTTCAGGGCAGGGGAAAGCAAGTCACAAAGTTCCATGAAAGTGCCCCTACGCATGCGAAAGTTTCGCAGCCACTGGGAATCGTCCCAGACCTGCAACACTATGCGGTCCCACCAGTCTGTGCTTGTTTCCCGAGCCCAGAATCGGCGTTCCACAGCATGAACCTGCCCCATTAGCACCATGATGCATGCATTGTCAGGGCCCATGCTTTCAGAGAAATCTGTGTCCATGTCCTGATCACTCACGGGACCGCGCTGACGTCGCCTCCTCGCCCGGTATCGCGTTGCCATGTTCTGGTGCTGCATATACTGCTGAATAATGCGTGTGGTGGTTAATGTGCTCCTAATTGCCAAAGTGAGCTGAGCGGGCTCCATGCTTGCCGTGGTATGGCGTCCGCACAGAAAAAAGGCGCGGAACGATTGTCTGCCGTTGCTCTGACGGAGGGAGGGGCGACTGACGACACGGCTTACAGGGTTGGCTTCAGGGAGCTAAAATCAACAAAGGGGGTGCCTGTACATCAAGGAGTATTTCAGGCAGGACTGCACGGAGGGTTCCAATAAGAAATGGTGCACCTAAGTTATTGTCCTTATTGGAGCAAGAAGGTTAGCCTGGCCTCTGATTGATACATGGCTAGATTTACCTCGCTGCACCTTCTTTGTGAGTGACTGCAGTGTGACCTAGAGGAATGAGTCCCCTAGACAGGGAAGGAGGCAAATGAGTACAAAACAAATCTGGTCTATTTCTTGTTTTGACCCACTCCATCTATCTTTTACATCTTTGGCTGGCAGCAGACGGTGCAGAAGGACTGCATGCCATCCACATCTCATGGCTGCTCAGCAGAAGATGGTACAGTACGACTGCAAGCAGTCCGTATCGCCTGCCCGCTCACCATAAGACGGTTCAATAGGACTGACTGCAGGACTAAAGAGAGTGACCTGGTCAAGTCACTCCAAATTTAGTCCCTGTGCCCATGTCTGCCCAGGCGCTCCTGATCGACCTCACAGAGGCGACCAGGAGCACCTCAGACATGACGATGACGGCTACCAGTCGTACTGTACCGTCTGCTGCCACAAGGCAAGGTTGCTGCTACTGTGTAGCAATGCCATACCGCGTCTGCCAGCACCCAGGAGACATAGGGTGACGGTTACCTGAGCGGGCTCCATGCTTGCCATGGTATGGCGTCTGCACAGGTAACTCAGGAAAAAAGGCGCGAAATGATTGTCTGCCCTTGCTTTCACGGGGGGAGGGAGGGAACGGGGGGCTGACGATATGTACCCAGAACCACCCACGACAATGTTTTAGCCCCATCAGGCATTGGGATCTCAACCCAGAATTCCAATGGGCAGCGGAGACTGCGGGAACTGTGGGATAGCTACCCACAGTGCAACGCTCCGGAAGTCGACGCTTGCCTCGGTACTGTGGAAGCGCTCCGCCGAGTTAATGCACTTAAAGCATTTTCTGTGGGGACACACACACTCGAATTTATAAAACCGATTTCTAAAAAACCGACTTCTATAAATTCGACCTTATTCCGTAGTGTAGACATACCCTATAGGAATGGAGGGCTGAAAGGGACCTAGAGAAGTAATCAAATCCAGCCTCCAGCACTGTGGCAGGACCAAGTAAACCAAGGCTATCCCTGACAAGTGTTTAATCTGTTCTTAAAAACCTGTGATGGGGATTTCACAACTTTTCCGTGGAAGCCTATTCCAGAGCTTAACTACTCCTATAGTTAAAAAAGTTTTTCCTAATATCTAACCTAAATCTCCCTTGCTGCAGATTAAGCTCATTCTTGTCCTACCTTCAGTGGACATGGAGAACAATTTATCACTGTCCTCTTTATAACAGCCCTTTAGTTATTTAAAAACTTATCAGGTGCCCTCTGTCTTTTCTTCTCAAGACTAAATATGCCCAGTTTTTTTTAACCTTTCCTCACAAGTTTTGTAAACCTTTTATAATTTTTGTTGCTCTCTGGCCTCTCCCCAATTTGTCCATATCTTTCCTAACGTGTGGGACCCAGAATTGGACACAGTACTCTAGCTGAGGCCTCACCAGTGCTGAGCAGAGGGACACTACCTCACATGCTTTACATACAACACTCCAGAATATTAGCATTTTTCACAGCTGCGTTACATTGTTGACTGATTCAGTTTGTGATCCACTATAACCGCGGATCCTTTTCTGCAGTTCTACCACTTGGCCAGTTATTCCTCATTTTGTAGTTGTGCATTTGATTTCTCCTTCCTAAGTTAAGTATTTTGCACTTGTCTTCATTAAATTTCACTTTGGTAAATTCAGACCAATTCTCCAGTTTGTCAAGGTTGTTTTGAATTCTAATCCTGGCCTCCAAAGTGCCTGCAATCTCTCCCAGCTTGGTGTCATTTTTAGATTTTATAAATACGTTTTCCACTCCATTGTCCAAGTCATTAATGCAAATAATAGTATCGGACCCAAAACTGGCCCCTGTGGGACTCCACTAGATTCACCCTACTGGTTTGACAGCAAACCATTGATAACTACTCTTAGAGTATGGTCTTTAACTAGTAGTGCACCCACCTTAAGCTAATTTCATTTAGACCACATTTCCCTAGTTTGCTTATGAGAACGTCAGGTAGGACTGTATCAAAATCAAGATATACCACATCTACTGCTTCTGCCCTATCCACTAGGCCAGTAACCCTGTCAAAGAAGGAAATTAGGTTAGTTTGGCATGATTTGTTCGTGACAAATCCTTGCTGGCTATTCCTTGTAACCTTGTTACCCTCCAGGTGCTTACAAATTGATTAATAATTTGTTCCAGTTTCTTTCCAGGTATTGAAGTTACACTAATTGGGCTATAATTTCCCAGGTCCTCTTTTGTTCCCCTTTTTAAAGATAGCTGCTATGTTTGCCCTCTCTAGTCTTCTGGGATCTCAACAGTCCTCCAGGAGTTCTCAAAGATAATTGCTAATGGTTCCGAGATTGTTTCAATTAGTTTCTTATGTACCCTAGGGTGAATTTCATCAGGCCCTGCCAATTCAAAGAATATTTATATAAGTTAGATATATTCAACCTGTTATTTCCCTATTTTGGCTTGCATTCCTTCCCCCTTGTTATTAATATTGTTTTGAGTATCTGGTTGCCATTAATGCCTATTTTGCTTCAGTCTTCAAAACAAAAGTTAAACACGCCAGCCTTCTTGATGCCATCAGTTTTACCTCTCCTTTCCCTCCAAAGTGGAGGGACCTACACTTTCATCATTCTGTTGCTCCTAATGTATTTAAAGAACCTCCTCTTATTGCCTTTCATGTCTCTAGCTAGGTGTAACTCATTTTGTAACTTAGCCTTTCTGATTGTGTAGTTACATGCTTGTGCTGTTTTTTGTATTCCTCCTTAGCAATTTGTCCATATTTCTATTTTTGTAGGAGTTTTTTTTTTTTTTTTCAGGTCTGTTAAAAGCTCCTGATGGAGCCTTATTGGTGTCTCACTATTCTTCTTATCTTCCCTTTGTATCAGGATAGTTTGCGGTTGTTCCTTTAATATTGTTCTCTTGAGAAACTGTCAGCTCTCCTGAACTCCGTTTTCCCTCAGATTTTCTTCACATTGGACCTTACCTACCAGTTCTCTAAGTTTGTTGAAGTCTGCTTTTTTTAAGTCCATTGTTCTTAGTCTGCTGCTCTCACTCCTTTATGGTTTTTGATAACTCATTATCACTAACGAGTATAACTGGAATTGTGTTTATTATATTAATTATGTGATTTAATTACTTATTGTTACTATGTTTCATACTTAGAATATATATTTTTAGATTTTAGGTACACTCATTATGCAAGGTCCTGCTACACTGTAATTATGCTTTAATGTAGTCAGCTGGTTTTATGGATTAATGTTAATTACAGGCATTAAATTCATAAAGCGTGGCCACAGTTGAATCACACTGTAATTGCAATGTAACTGCAGTGTAATTAATCATTATTGTAAAGTGTGACAATTTTTCAAGACCATCTTTTTAAAAACAATTATTTCCCCTTCTCAATTTTATTACTAGAAATATGTTCAAATAAGATCTCAGCTTCTTCCCATTCCCTGGAAGTTGTAGGGCTCTGTACTCATTGTGTCCCATAATCTTGTTTCTGACAACTCAGTCTCTACAACAACTGATCATGACATCACAAACGCAGGATTTGGACTACAGAACAAATGTTTTCATGATTTCTATTCAGTTTTTTTTTTTTCATTTCCCTGTACTGTGTTTTATCAGTGAAAACAGCCAAAACAAAACCAGATTCTATTTGTTGTCTGAACTACTTGGATATTACCAGAACTAACAGTGGGCTTCCAGTATGTTGTCTAATTGATTGGGTTACTTTCTTTTCCAGCAAAATCATCAGGACACCCCATGCAAGTAGTATATGTACCATCCCATCTCTATCACATGGTTTTTGAACTTTTCAAGGTTTGTACAGTAGGATTACAAAATCTGCATGGCATGTTTGTGTACTGAGCTGTGTATTTGACATGTTGAACTAATTTTTAAACAACAACTTGCAAATTTGTCCCTGCAATTGCAAGATTCAGACATCTAAGTTCCTGACTGCACTCACAGATCAGGTAGATAGATGTCTAAATCTTATCATTTGTACACAAATGACTGTGTGTAAAATCAGAGGCTTTGAAAATGTGTCCTGTATCTTAATCATTCATACAGGAATACTAAGACTTCTATATCAAGCCACACCTCTTCAGATTCTTTTCTAACATACAGAACCTATGCATGCTGTAATTTAATCACACTAGTAAAGCAATTCAGAACTAAAGCTACACTTTTTCATAGGCCTGTAGACTACTAATTTTTTTTCAGATTGACTCTGATTGGAGAACCAGTGAATTTAGGACATCACACAAGACGGATAGGTGATAACTGAGAGATAGACTGTGTAAAACTTTGTTTTTTATTAACAGTTGGTGGTATTCAACTCCAATGGCTTAATTAATCCTTGGAGAGAAGATGTTTCTGTGAGAATTCAGCTCCTCTCCCATTAAAATAAGGTTAGCTCATGATATACATCTAAGTCTCCCCCAGTAAGACTGTAGCAAAGCCAGGCAAGACCAGACTTGATATTCCTGTGGTAAAAAGCAAGCAGGAAATATTTTTGAAGAAGAAATATGTTTATTATATCTTTATACAAGTACAAAGAAGCAAAAATGGAAATACAATCTATATAGGGGCACACATAAAACTGTTTTCCTAAGTTGACATTTTAACAGCACAATTTAAAAGTTACAATCAAATCTAAGATTTGATTAAAACTACTTATTTTACTTTAATTTTAAATATTTCTCAGAATGCAATGAGAGCCACAATGGAACGCTATACTGATCGAAGCATTTACCCTCCAATTCAAGTACATGTCATATTAGGCAATGAGGATTTAACTGTGAAGGTAACTGCTTTGTTTGATACTTAATTAGTTTGATGGAAAATAGTTAGTTCAGAACCTGCGGGGAATATTTTATTATGAATGGGTGATGCGACATGAAGTTTGTACCAATGCTGATAATGTATTGTGCACGGAATAAGACCTCTGTGGGATTTCAGGCCTTGGGTCAGTGATGAGTGGAAGCATCATAAAGTTGTCACAAGTCTCATGTGAATGGGAGATTGTGACATCACTTTAACCTTTCAACATATTTATTATTTTTTGTAGCTATAATGTAAATAAACCATGTTCCTGTTCAAGGATAAAGTGCCAATTTAGGAACGAAAGATAGCCAGATTTGTAGTTTATCCAGACCAGGTGGAAGTGACTACTTGAGTGAGGTGCAGAACAGGTTTGGAATAAAGTAAGTCCAGCACAGGTTAAGCCTGCCTATGGTAGGCCTTGCCTTGCTGTTATTTCTTTTAAGGGCAGCATTTCTCTTATATGGTTAGTGTTGGATTTCCAAGGTTGGCTGCAGCGTATAGGTTTTCCTTAGAATTTACCTTCACATAAGTAGAAACAGATCTTCAAATTTGCTCTAGTAGTAAATGAGTACTAATATATTGCACTGCTATGTAGCATCTTTGTTCCTAAAGTGCTGGCTAAAGCACTGAGAACTTTGTACCCTTAGGATTCAATTGACATGGCCACTGCTTACTTTTACTGAACCTAACTTCCTCCACATGAAGATTAGAAATTGGAAGGAATTCAAAAGCAGTGCAAAACGTATAAGTGGGGTGTATGGCTTCTAAGGGTATATCTACACAGTCCGCAGCAATGAACCTCCCAACCCATGTCAAAATTCAGGCTTGTGCCGCTGTGCTAAAATTATCAGTGTAGACAGTTCATGCTCTGAAGCCTAGGCTTCAGAACCTGAGCACCAGACTAAGCCCTAACTTCAAATTACCATCTACGCAGCTATTTATAGTGCAGTAGTGTGAGCCTGAGTCTGTCAACCTGGGTTGGGAGGCCCACTGCTGCAGGCTGTGTAGACATAGCCTAAGTAATTCTGTGTAATTGTGGACAGTGCTTTTGGAGACAGCATTTTGGGAAACGTCATTAACCTCAGCTGGGATTTTGTGTGTATAATATTGCTGTGATTTATCAGCTGATGATTTTCTTTATAAAGTCTGATCCGATGATTTAATAAGGACAACTTGAGACTGTACAGTCTTCAGACTTTCTTTGGACTTTATTCTTTATGAAAATCAGCTTGTTTCTCTGTTCTCTTTTATATACAGGAGCCTAAAGTTAACAGTGTGTTCATTCATTTTGTAGATAAGCGACCGTGGTGGCGGTGTTCCTATGAGGAAAATTGACAGACTATTCAACTATATGTATTCAACTGCACCACGTCCCCGTGTTGAGACATCACGAGCAACACCTCTGGTCTCTAAGCCTTTTTTACTTTGTCCTCTTGAATATGGTTGATAGTTGGGAAGGCAGAAATTACCTGTATCTTTGCACTACTACGTGTTTTGGAGATAAATGAGTAGTCTAGCAATTCTGGTGTTAAAAGTTAAAGTGCCTTTCTGAAAAGAAAAAAAAAAATTATAGACTCTTACAGCATTAAACAGAATTTGTAGCCTTAATGGTAAATAAGAAAAATACTATATTTACCAAAATTTGAGTTTGAAATTCTGTTTCTTCAAGCGCTGAAGGAGAGAACAAGGAGCGACATTCCTTGAACTGTTGTAGAGTTACTGTAATCTGTTTCTAGGCGAGTACAGGACTTTGAACTTAGGTCCTGGAAGCAGAGTAGAAAAGGAAATTAATTTAGGAATAGAAATTAATTTAGGATTTTAGGAACTTCTGGTTGTAAAACTGCCCCTTCTTTTGGATCAAGTCCATACTTGTCATTTTGAGTGAAATAGCCGTTCAGTCGTATAATCCTGACAAGAACAAAAGTACATAGCATATAGTCGTGCTGATAAAGAGCTTACTCCCATGGTCCTTGCAAACTCCTCGTGGCTTCAATAGATTTAATTCAAGTTATTTGGTTCCAGAGATACTGCGCAAATTAACTAGTGATTAAGTGAAAGGCATAATATTTCTAACTTTTGCTCAGTGTTTAATTGTTAACAATTTAGGACAGGGGTTTGTCAGACTTTCATAGTGTAGGCCACAAGCAAATTTAAGGAGGTTGCCTCTTGGGCCACCTGCCCTTTCATTGGCACTCATAACATCTCTGTCTTAAGTCTCTACCTTCTCAAGATCAGCAACAGCCAGACTAGTGGCTCCATGGGAATAGAGATAGTCATCCAATTTTCTGCAGCAAGGCAGAATACTTCTACTAGTGCTCTTGCCTTGGGATAGCTGCAAGTAACAGCACCAAATACTGTGTTGTATGGCAGCCCTCAGAGGGAGGGTTTACTTTTTGCAGTCCCCAGGCTCTGCAGTCCTCTCCCCTCCCCACAAAGAGCTAGGAATGTTTTTAGGTAAATGGGTAGGAAAGGAGGGAAACTTGGAAACATTGGTGTATGGAGGAGTAATACTTAAGATTGGAGTCCTCACCACCTCTCTGATCTTATATAAGTGATTACTTTTCTCAAATGCTAACATGTCCAGTAATACGCTGACCCTAGCTGGATTTCCTCTAAATTAAGAAGTGCAGATATTGGTCTGCTATGCTGACAGTCTGCAGATGATGCAGTTAACTCAAGTGTGCTTTTATCTCTCCCCGCTACCCGCTTTTTATCAGGCTGGATTTGGTTATGGTTTGCCTATATCACGTCTGTACGCACAGTACTTCCAAGGAGATCTGAAACTATATTCCTTAGAGGGTTATGGTACAGATGCAGTTATCTACATAAAGGTATAGTTTACCACCTTTTGATATTAGTCTTAATGTAACTTGTAATTTTAATAAAGTTTAATATATGCTCAGCAAAATATACTTCACTATAGCTTCTGCTCTCTTTACAGGCTTTATCAACAGAATCAATCGAAAGGCTCCCTGTGTATAACAAATCAGCTTGGAAACATTATGTGGAAAACCATGAAGCAGATGACTGGTGTGTGCCAAGCAGTGAACCAAAGGACATGACCACATTCCGCAGTATATAATTGTACAACAGTCCAGAAAAAGTAAACATGTTTTTGTTGTCTGTTTGCAAAGGGATTGTTTAGCAGGTTTACACCAAACATGGTTCAAATACTTTATGTGAAATAATAGGAAGTTGAAGTCCATAACTGTTTTCCTATACTACTTTAAGGAATTAACTGAATTAAAACAAAATATGTAGATTAAGAAATACAAAGTGGAATAAATTACGGGTGTATTTCCAATTTACTTCTGTAGCTAGATCTTGGGAGCAGTAATTTTAGATTTTATACAGGATCTAGGGTAACTTATTTCACACAACAAACTCTCCTAATGGAAGCATTATTGAAATAGCAGCTAGTCAGAACAGCTAATACCAGTTCTTTGTATTGAGCATTGGATGAAGTTCTCAAATGATCTCAACACTGATATATGAAACATTAAAGTAGTTAAAGCATTAAGGTTTATAAAACCTATCATGCAACCTTTCACATTTTCTACCATCTTCTAGCCAAGGAGCTCAAAAGCACTTTACAAACCTGAATAAATTTAGCAAAATTAGAAACAAATATCTGAATTTAAGTACAGAAGCTCCAATAGGCAATCATGTATTGTTTTACTTTGTTCTGAAATCAGTGAATCTGAACATACTACTAGTAGTAGATGCATTCAGAGGGGCAAGGCAACAGCTGTACACTAAATTATTCTCAAGTTGTACTTGTATTTGCCTATACTGTTTATCAGCTATGGAAATCATTTATTTTACAAAATGAAGCTTTCTTTTTGAAAATCCAATCTTAACTGCTGCCTCTGGTATAATGCATTGCAGGTATAAAATACCAGTTATGGGTCTTCTGAGAACTGTACTGAAAATTCATGAGAAACAGAAGTTGGCATACTTACACTTACTGTGAAATAGCAGCTTCTGAGGGTTTACAGTAAAGATTTGCAGGTCTTCCTCTCTCTTTCTGCAGGTAATGTCCAAATACCACTTGTGGGTAGCCTGTGGCTTTGACACTCTGGTAAAGCCTTGAACTCTGGAATCATATATTAGGTGACAGCAGTAACTGCTAATATGCAGAAACTCTATTGCAAAATCTGCATCTTTACTGAGCAGATCAGTGTAATAGTAGGACAACAGGACCTACCAGTTAACCAGGTGTATTTAAAGAGTGCAATTAATGTCAAAAATCAACTTTTGCTATACTAAAATATTATAGGAAAAAAAGAGCATATCAGCTCTCTTTAGAGAGGGATGCAACAGTGTTGATAGCTTCAACTGTGCTGCTGGCCACACCGGCGATTTAAGCCCATATAACAATGCCGGGTCATGAATGTACATTCCACTGAATTCTCATATCCCCAAAAACTTAGACTGCTGCAGAGAAGCACTTGCAGTCCCAGCGCCTAACTCAGATGACCAATCCTTAACTGGTCTATAAGATGAGGGTGAAAGATGTGCATGTGCCAGAAAGCACACACTATGTTTCAGCAGTCTACCAGGTCAAAATAGAGCAGGGGATGGTATAAAGGTCTGCCTGATCACAAGCCTATGATTTCTTGTTATTGAATAGATAGGGAAAGAAGCTGGAACGGTAAGTATACTATAGTCCTCTATTTTGTGAGAGATGACTTCAGATGAATTCCTCATCTGTAAATTGAGCATAGATAGGGGTGTTGTGAGGGTAAGTTTTGTTTGTGTGGCACATCACCATTGTATATAAGTGCCTAAAAGGCAATACAATATAATCAAATTAATGCCCCAATCCTGCAACTGAATCCAGGCAGGAAAGGGTTTGCAGAATGGGGTAAAAATTTATATAAAGCAGGGGAGTGTTTGCTAAATGTTTGCAACTGTCACTCTTGACAGCCTAATACTAAAAGTAATAGAATTTGGTTTTTAAAATAGTTTCAAAACTTATGTTTAACATGGTAGAACTTTTTAGAATTATTTGTATAAAATTTTGAAATATTTAATCAAACTTCCACTTAAGAATTAAATTGAACTGATTTTAGTAATGTCTAAGAACAAATATGCAAAATCATTCTAACAGACTATAACAGTCTGCCTGCAATGAACATCTATCCAAAGAATAGAAGAGTTTTTATGTGGAATTACTGAAGTAGAAACCTTTGCTTGTATCTTTGCTATCTATGGCTTAACATACCTTTTGATTATTAGGAAAAAAAAGTCAGTGCCCCAAGCAAACTATTCCAATGTAGATATTTCAATAGTTTTTTCCTCCTCTGCTGGCTGTGGTGAAAATTAACTGTTTAGTAAATTTCAGAGTGTGCAGTATTTACTCCTAGTAAGAGTAAAGATAGTTGACTTGCTATGTTTGATTTACTTCACCACAGTAGCTGGTTCAAAAGATTGATTTTATATATACACATCTTCATTACTGTACTGAAAAATAATCACTTATTGCTAGTTGGCTGTTGAATATCAAAAGAAAACAAACTGGTTGCAGAAATAGCGAAATGGATAGTTATACTCTCTTGAAACAGTGGGATTAAACCCTATATTTATATTTAGAATTGTTGGTTTGTGTGTGATAAAATGAAACTGCAATGTGAAATTTATTTTATCATATTGAAGCAATAAATGTGTCCATTAATGCAATTTATAAAAATCAGACTTTCAGTTGACTTATTCTTTGGGTGATTGGGGACTGAAAAAGTTCAAAGGAGTCATCCAACCCTTTCAGGCCTCGAGTGCCAGGGGCTGTGGTAGGCAGGGATGTTCTCTTTCAAAGAGTAACTTATGCATCACAACCGGTCACCTTATCTGCACCTGTTCAACTGCCTCAGCACTGCAGAGACAGGCTTTTGAAACTAATTCAGGTATCCTCCTAGATACAGCACTCAGCTTAATGGCTACAACCTTCAGATGCTGTGGAGCTGACAGAAGGAAAAACCCTAGGACACTACATCAATAACCTCCATTCCATCCATCAGCCCTTCATTCATTCCTCACATACACAAGGAAGAGGGGACCCAGGGATGAGGGGGGAAAACAGTGCCTGGCATTGCAGATCTTGCACCACCCTAGAATTCTGACCAACCTGTCCCAGCAGACAAAAATTCTTCTCTTTTGCGAGCAACAAAGAACTCCTCTGGCCACTCAACCTCTGGAAATTGATTGATTGACTAGATGTAAGGTAGATTCCTGGAATTCACTAATTTCCCAAGAATTAAAAATAAGCAAAACAATAAGCTGCTTTTCTTAATTAAAACACAGAACTGAAAATAGAGAAGGCATTTAATAGAAATATGAACTTTACATTTTATTTGAAAATCAGTAGAGTGAATGTGCATTTTCACAAAGTTCTTTCCTCTTCTGAATTTCAGAGAAATCTTCCGTATTTTAAACACTTGAGAAATGTCAGAAGTGAAATGATCATTTAATTAAAAATGAAAAACATTAATTCATACATTTAAAGGAGAACTTGGTCCACATAATTGCAATATTCAAACTAGCAATTCAGAATTCCAAGATCTTGTAATTTTCTATTCCACTCCATGATGGAATTAACATTTTTATTCCATTATTTTTCTGGAAAAAAAAATCTAAGGAAGTGCTTTTGTAATATTTCTACAAGCTGTTATGCAATTACACAAGAACACATATCAAATCATGTTCTAAACTATTCCAAGAATCAAATCCTCCTTTAAAAAGAAAGTCTATAGTCTATAACTGAACAATTAAATACAATGCAGAAACCCAGTGCTTCATTGATAAATTTTTTCTACAATTCTCATCTCCGTATTTTAAGTATGGAAAAACAGTATTGTTTAAAATTAGCAAATACATAAACTTGGTCCCCCAAAATCTTGTAGAGAGTAGAAAAGAGACATACTCATTGCAAATTCATCTTATTCATAGCATAAAACTATAAAACTATATTATTTAGGAAAAATATGTAAAAAATGATCTTTTATTTATCGTTTACACCCTGTTCCAACACCTCATGGTGTAGCTTACGGAGAGAATTTAGTGTTATGCTTAGCATAAGTAGTTTGTGAAAACTACTTACATACTACTTTCAGTAAACTGCAACACATGAAATTCAAAAATCAGCATATGACTACAGTAAATTTTGAATTAAAAATGGACCACTGGGAAAACACAAGATTTTAAAGAAAACAATTCATTAAATTTGAAATACATGCTTTGTTTTTTTAAATAAATTTGACATTGCTGTTTTCTTAAACTTAATTTTTTTCACTTTACAACATCAGTGGCAACAGCTAAACAGTGTCACACTTAACTTGATGACAGGATTTTCTATTGTCCATATGTCAGATTAAACCCAATATTTATAGTTTAAGTCAACTGCAAGAGCTGACTAATATTTGAATTAATACTTCCCCCCCCAATGTCACATCCCACTTTCCACAAACATATAAATTTCAATGGATATTTCACGCATATGGTGTTTTTACATATCAGTCATAGAAGCACGCACAGTACTTAAGGCAGAAAGTTAAATTATTGTCTTTTAGTACAGGCAGAGTCAACTAGATATAAAAATATTGAAAACATTATTTCATTTTAATGGAACATGTAATGGGGAGGGAATACAGAAATTAAAGTAAATAACCTACCATGTTAAACTGTTGCACTTTACCTCCTCAATTGTACAATTATATACAATTTTGTTGCACTTCTTCAAGTTGAAGTAAGTCTGTGCTAAAATAAAACAATCATTTTAACAGCTTGATTCTACAGCGGCTACCACTCTGCCACTCTTGCGAACTTCTCTTTCCTTCTTTTGAACTTTGTCTTTCTGTTTTTCCAGTTTTTCTTGTGTTTTTTTAATATCCTTAATTTTCTTCTTTATTGTGGCTCGGTCATTTTGGCTGGAAACCCCCAGAGCCTTTAAGAGAAATTGTGTTTAGTTACTCTGGTTTCAAGAAAGTATTACGGAAGCTGCAAGAAATTGTACAGTTCCTTACATCAGACATAAAGGGAGTAAATCTGTAGAAGATAATTTACAGTTTTTTTAACTGTAATGTGAGATGGTTGCCTTTCTGATAAATGGGGCAGAGGAGATGTAGCCTAGGTTTTGTATTGTTGTGAATAGTAAGTTTCATGTGGCACTTAAAGTGGAGCATCTGAGACTTTCTAATGAGTGATATAACAAAATCAAATTGAACTGTTTTAAATTAATCTTCTGCTGACTCCCTTGATACAGCTGCATAAATAGTACATAGTAACAGCAGTTAGTGTGTATTTCTTCTTCCCCGCTTCCTTTACAGAGAATGTTGCTGAACTCAGATCAATCATCTGCGGTATTTAGTAGCTTGAGAAAACCTCTACCTATGAAAACAACTTGCAGAAATCTAACAAGTGTCTTTTAAGACAGTCACATACAATTCTTGGAGGTTCAATGAACTGAATGAAACAAAGCTGCGTAAGCTAATGGGTGAAAAAGCTGCTCTTCGCCCCAGACACAGTAATACCTTTAAAATGCCAAAATCCAACTTGAAAAATTTGTTGGAAGATACAGTAAGGAAAAGTGGGTTTGTGCTGTTTTTTTTTTTTTTTTTAAATCACTTCATATAAAGCAAAAAGGGGCAGGCTCAAAGATTCCAAGCCCCCACCCCTTAAAAAAAAAGTAGGGTATTTTTTCTGGGGTGATTTTACATTGGAAATTCAGGTTCTGTTTGCCCAGGAAGACATTATCACAAATGAAGTTGAAAAAACAACACTGAGAGCTAAGTAACTGAGAAGGAATTTATAGTTGCTGTTTAAAATCTGATTTTTTTATAACATTTTACTTCAGAGATTAGCAATTTGAGTTAACATTTGTGAGCGCCTTCCTGCCTCCTCCCCTGGCAGCACTAACCCTAGTCTCCCACACCTGCTACAGTGAGCCCATTCCAACCCCTTCTGCTGCATTGTTCCATTCTCATTCCCTTCCTAACCCTTTTTCTAGCTTATCATTGACTCCTTCCTCTCACAATGCAAGCCCACCCTGGTCTCCGCTGTCCTCAAGAAAACCCACAACACACATCCCACAACATTGTCTCTCCAACGGTTTCACGATCTCTCTCCTCCCAGTCACCTCAATTTTTCAAATATGCAGTCTAACACTGATGTAGTTAATCCCTCTCCATCAGCTCTTTATTTCAATCCTTGCAATCTCTCTTTTCTCCACTCTACTGAAATGATTGCAAGGTCCACCAGTCTCACCACTCGGGGGGGGGGGAGGGAGGAGAGGGGACACAGCCACGGGTAAGGCCAGATTCTGCTCCTGGCCCCACTCCCAGCGTTGGCTCCAGACTGGGAATGGAGCTGTGGCCAATGGCCAAGCCTGGGGACAGTGCTGGGAGCGGAGCCATGCTGAAGTTGGGATGGGACCAGGCGCAGAGACGGGAGCACCACTGGGGGCAGGACCAGAGCAGAGCTGGGGGCAGGGAGGGGCTGGCCAGCGCTTCCTCCCCAGAGCTGTGGCCCTGCTCCCTGCCCTGGGGGATGGTGGTGGTGCGGACGGGGTTAAGGTGGGGCACAACCCTCAAAAGTTTGGGGACCACTGCTTTAAAGCAATAATGTAACTGGGAACTGATTATCTGAGATTGCCTCTCACCTTGGTGCCACCTTTTTCCCAGTGGTCTGTCATCACCTCGGATCTGTTAACCTCCAGGTAATATTGTAAGGGCCAGCTTTCCACCCAGGCATTTAGAAAGGGAGTGTTATTTACTTATTAGGAACCATTTATTTGTGACGGAAAAGTACCCTACTTTTTATACTGAATATTAACACGGGATTGTCTATCTCAGTTATTGAAAGCATTGCAAGAACACAGGGTAATATCTTTTAATAGAAGGTCACTTTATAAATCAAAAGGATGAAATCAAAATAAAAAAGGGCTGAAACCATTGCTCAATGAAGTCAATAGCCAGACTCCTATTTATTTCAGTGAGTATTGGATCAGGCCCTAAATCACCACATACATTTTTCAAAGTAATTTTGAAAAATCACTTGCCTCACTGACACCTGAGGTGTCATATATAAGGTATAGTAGACTTGTGATAGCAATACAATCAGACTTTTGAACCAGGGTTGGTTGTTCGTTCATGCCATGTATTAATCCAATATTAGGGTAATATAAAAAGGAATCCTATCAGCTTAATAGTTTTTTAAAAAATAGGTTTCTTTGACTATGTTACTTAAACCATAATAGATCATTATAATAAATAATCTTTCTTTAAACACCACTTTGCTTGTTTACTTTTTGCATTGCTCTCAGGTAGGACAGTGAAAATAAACTAGACAGTTCACTTCTCTAGAGACTGTCATTTTAATTTCACTTCCAGGTTCTTAGGCTTTAGCACAGCATTCAGTGTAAACAAGCAATGCAGTCCCTTTAAAAAAAAAAATTCCACTAGACTTCTAAATAAATTCATGGAAGCATTTCTATTAGTCTTGTGTTTGCAAAAGCATGTTTATAACTTAAATTTTGAGTAAAACTGGACCTTACAAGGTACTTTTCAGGCAACTAAAACTAATATAATATTAAAGGTAGATGTAGTAAAACTGAAAGCATCTTCCATAATTTTAATCTGCAAGCGTTTATACATTTCATCTTCCCTAATGACACTTTTGTATTAACGTGGACAGTAACATTTGTGAGTAGAGTGCATTTCAATTTTTGATCAGCAGATGGCAACATCTGATTTCAGTTCCCAAACAGCAGTGTTATTTTCTATCTGGAGAATTTGAGTGCAATACTGTGAAAATGACTGCTTGAAGTACCAACGGGCCACACTTCCCATAGTTACCTTTTAAGTTACTGAATATGGTTTTCCCTGTTGTCCAAGGAAACATTTCTGTGTTAAGTTATAGGAAATTTAGAGTTGCAAATCCATCCCAAGAGACAGATGTATTTAAATGGCAAAGTTAAAGGTTCATAAACCCACATTTTTTCTTCAAAAAAGATATTCTAATCCCACTATTAGTCACTAGATTTTGGTTTCAGACTTTACTGAACTCTGTTAGAGAAAACCTCCTTTTAGAATAATACCTTTCCAATCCAAAAAGTAGTCTAACAATATGAACGAACGAAGAAGAGCTGGAATGGACATGCAGCATGCAATTATCAGAGGCAAAATGACCACCTCAGCGCTGCAGCTGGTT